ACAGCCACAAATCGTAATAGCTCAAAAATTTATTTGTAATATTATTTAATTTTTTTCTTTAAATTGTAATCGAAATTTAACAATAATACGAGTTCGAGTAAATAGAGGTAACGTAAATTGAAATTTCCTAAGGATCTTTTGCACTGCACTTATGTAAATATTTATTTATTTTTTTATTTATTACACTTATTTATTATTTTTGCTTAAAAGTTTTCAAATTTATTTATTTATTTATTAAACATATAAAATTTTCACAATGGTAACACCTAATTTACCCTACCTGAAATTGTAGTATATACAAACTATTTCCCTCAATTCACCATCAATATACTCGAACTCGCACACGATCTTAGTATTATTGTTTTTATATAATTGATTTTTTTAAAAAATTTTTGGTTTTAAGTAATTTTATTTTGGCAACGATGGACTTTTTTGTAAATAAAAAATAAAAGTACATAAAACTAGGAATCCATGAAAACAATTTTTTTTTAAATAAAAAAAAAATATTACAAATATTAAAATTATTCATATAAATATTATGAACACCACTACTCCAATTTACTGCCACTTTCGATTTGTGGCGATAATATTTATATAAACATTCTTTAACTTTTAAATTTTTTTTTATTTACACATGAAATTGTTAAAAAAACAGTGATCAACTTTAACTAAACTTTAATTTAGTTTAGGTTTTAGAAAAAAACCAAACGAAACGTCGGTTAAAAAAATGAAATAAATTAATTTTTTTATTTGCATCCCAGTCACAAGAGTAGTCACAAGAGAGTAGACTAATAAAAATTATAATTTAAAAAAACAAAACGTACTGGTCAAAAAACATCATTATTAAAAAGAAATTATTAATATTAAAATTATTTAATAAAAACAATATTAATAATATTAAAATTATTTAGTAAAAAAAATATTTTTAAAATTAAAATTAATTAATAAAAATAATATTAAAATTATTTATATTATATTATGTTATTTTATGTTATATATTATTATTATATTATATTATATTAAATATTATTATTATATTATATTATATATTATTATTACATATATATTTTTATTATATTATATTCTATATTATTATTATATTATATTATATATTATATTTATATTTATAATTTTTTACATGATAAAATATACATACTTAAAAATATTTAATTAACTTAATTAGTTTTTAATTTTATTGTAACAAAAGCTATTTTTATATTTTATTATTGTAAACTCAAATTACTTTAAATTATGAATATTATTTATATATTTGTGAGTTTTTTTTAGAAAACAATATTAATAGCATTTAATGCAATTAATGTAAATAATATTTTAATTTAAAATTATAATTGTATATTAGAAATTTGTCTTTAACATGTCTTACTTTTTCGACATTATTGGAACGGTTTTGAACAGTTTTAATCATTTTAAATTTAATTAATGGTATTAAATTTAATTTATATTTATTCTTTTTAAAATACTTCTATTCATTTCAGACATTATTATTAACTTTAAAAGAATGACCTAATAACGTTAATACCGATTTAAGTATATTCCTTACTAATTAACTTATACTAATATCAGTTCAATACAGAATAAATAGTTCATTCAAAATTATTCAAATTTCAAATCTTCACGAGGAATGGCAGCACTGCTGTACTCTGCCGACAATATATCTGTGTAATTATAGAATAGTTCAACGAACTAAAATAAATGCCAACTTTAACTAAAAGCAAAGGCAACAACAACACACATACTACTTTAAAAGCTTGCCTGTGTTGGTGCACAACTCATATTTAGTGTTGAAAAATGCTAACCTAAAATCTACTCGAGAACACATTGAGCCAACCATGCGGTGTTGTCGCACATGTAAATAATTTTAAGGAAATATAAAAAACAACAAAAGACAAAAAAATATTGAGTATTTAATAACTAAAATAATGAAATCAAGCATTAACAAAATATTTGATAAGTAATTTTGTGTAGTTCATATAGAAAATATCAATTTTCAAAAATTCACTTGATCCGCGTATAGTTTACTGTTTTGTACTGTACTTTTCGCTTAAATTAACTGTGTTAAACTCCTATAGGCAACACAAGGCAACAACGGTGTTGTTGCAAATTGATATTTTTTCTATTTTTTTGTACATAGTTTTTGCATTTGCAGTGAGTGTTTGTCTTTATGCTTCTCAACTTAATCACAGCACAGCACAGCCATCAAAACTCAAATTTCACTTGAGTTTTCACATTACGCAGGAACCAATGTAAAGTAGAAATAGGAAAAGAATAGTTACGGAATAAAAGTGCCATTATTAAATAATCAATTTCTGAGGAAATTTTTTGAAATTTAAAATACTTTCAATGTTGAAAAGTTTATGCAATCGGAAGAGCACTTTAAACTAATTACATACATATGAATAAAGGAATATAAGAATTTTGTTTTTATATTTAAAAACAATTCAAGTAGCAATTAATATTGTTGTAGGTTTTAGAGAGCAGCACACCCGATTCTTATAGGACGGACAATACACACCATACGTCCGTACGTTCGCTTCTGTTGTTTACAACAAATGACTAATAAAGCATTGACGATGACGATGACGATGGCGATGGCGGTGGCAGTGGCGGTGATTGTGGCAGTACCAACAAATAATTTTCATTGATACACAAAATTAGTATAGTGTATACTATATATGTATATATCTATATATATATGAATGTATACTTTCTTCAAAACACATTTCACACATGTATATGTATATATGTCCGTCCATCGTACTAGTTTATCTCATGCAGCAGTGGCAGTGGCAGTGTCAATGCACTAAATCGAGACCTTAATTTCTTTCATTTATTTTATCAATTAAAGTCATTCTTGCTGGATGTATTATTGTTGTTCTTGTTCTTCGTGTTGTTATTGCTGTTGTTGTTGTCGTTGCTGTTTTTAGTTTAGTTTACTTTTTAATGCAGGAAATAAGAAGTTGGAACCAGAGGAGCTTGGGGACGTGACCGAAGTGAAAAAAATTGTATAAAAAAGTATGAATGAATCAATGAAGAATGCGTTTCGCGCGAGTAACATATCTCTACGGTCTGTAGTGTCTGTAGTATTTATAATTGCCTTGGTATGCGTGAATGTATAATTTATATTTCTTGATTGCTGGAAAGTTACTGATAAACGGAAATACTACTTATGGACTGGCAATAGTTTCATCGTCGTTTTGTTGCAGTCATCGTCATCGTCATACAAATATTAATGAATAAATAAATAAAATTTGTGGCACTGCATTAAATAAATAATGAAAAGAAAAAACGCTGCCATAAATATTTGCAAAAAATAATTTCAACTCTAAATAAAAATATTTTCTGCAAAAATATTTCTTTACAAAGAGGGGGAAGGAACAGAAAGAGGGAAGAGGTGCAGAGAGAGAGAGGGAGAAAAACTGTCTCTTGAAACTTGATCTACTTGTAGAGCTTAGAAAGGAAATTTTTATTAAATATTAAACTTTTTATTTGAATAAAGTATTCACAATGCGGATCTGAAGAAATTTGACACACTTTGTCAAAACCTTTTAAAACCGAAGGATGAGATGATGTTTTGGAATTTGAGACAATTGAACAAGGATTCAGCTCTGGTAGATACTAGCGCTAAATAAAATCATTAGATGTGTTAGATGTGTTATCATATGTAACATGTACAAGGAAGAAGCGTTCAGAAAGAATATTTCTCCTTATTCGAAAAATGAATTATATCCTAGACTTCTTCCATGTTGCTATTATTGTAGCCCACAGGGATCTGCTTGTATTGTTACTTTAAGGGTAGAGAACAGTACTTGGTTGTCGATATTGGCGACGAGTGAGTCCAGAACGTAGACTCGGCTCTTCTTGAAACCAAATTTCTTTCATAATTATTTTCTTTTATTCGTACACTTCTATATTAGTTGCTAAAGGACGAAATTATATAGTAAATGTTGTTCCAAAGCTAACAATGTCAATTTACATATAATTTCATATTGGATCGTCCCTTATTAATGAATTGGCACACTTTTTGAACATACAATCCATATTAACAAACACTGCCTTAGGTGATATACTACGGTGAAAATAATAAGCGTTCAGCAGAGTTGCAGTATCGCACATCCTTTGCGCAGGTGAGCATCGGTTTTTAGAATAAAAGTTTCTTTATAGAACACACATAACAAATTTACAAGTTAAAGTACCTATTAGTACCTAGTATTTTTAGTACCCAGAGAGGTATGAACTTCAGAAGGAACACCAAACTAAAGCAGAACTAATTTAATAACTTATAACTCGAAAAATAAATTAATAGCTCAGGGACACATTAGACTAAGCATCCAGCTTACATATTTCTATCCCCTTTTCTTCTATTCTCATTTCACACATATGCACAATTAAACACAATTCATATATACTAGTTTTCAACCTGAAATATTATTCTGGTGTGTCCGCCAAACACTTACGACATAAAACTAATCCTCTAAGATAATATAAAGCAATTCGCTCTTCAACGGAATAATCTACACATACATATATAAGTTCCTACATACATATATAAGTACACATTTTTTTTTCTAAAATTACTTATATAGTTATTGATTCGAGAAAAAGTGAAACTTAATGTCTTTTATAGGCCTATATACTATATAATCACATAGTGAGTCAACATAAGCAAGTGAAGGAAATTAAAGGAAGTCCAACTTCTAAAGCGAAAATCTGTTAATTTCCTCTTGCTACAGCAGGACTTAGTTTCAAATCTTTATTCTAGTTTATACGATTTTATAATATTCTTACAAATGTTATAAATAATTACAGGTAAGAACAGGTGATCAATATTTATCAAACTGATGGTTCGATTTCTTTCCATTATGAATTACTATAAAGTGATTAAATATATATATGTGTGTAAAAAAAAATTATATTATCAATAAAATATTTACACAACAATATACAATATTTGAATATTTATTTAATTGGTCAAAACTTACCAATTCCTTTAGTTGGACTTAACACTCCGTATCAAAGTAATGCGATCTCACAAGGCTAGTAGTGCTCCTATATATTGTTCCAATACAGATTGCGCTAGCACTGCGCCATGTTCAATCGCTAAAGTATATGCAGTATCGCCATTTTCATTTGAAGCGGTCATATCAGGATCACGTGATAGAATTTCATTACATGTATGTGGATGATTGCCGGCTGCAGCGTACATAAGTGCTGTATTACCCATAATATCCATATGTCCACGTTTAGCGCCACGTTCCAATAGGAAGCGTACCACTTCATGATGTCCACCGGATGCAGCTAATAACAATGGTGTCACCATATCTGGTGCTTCGCTATTAACATTAGCACCAGCATTTGTAAGCAATTGTACTGCCAATAACTGCCCATAGTAAGCAGCCCAATGTAATGGTGTAAAACCATAGGCATCCTTAAAATCTATATTGGCCCCAGCTAATCGCTGCTTTTCTATTTCTACATTTACTTGTTCCTCTGTTATCTCACCCTGGCCAGCACGTTCGTGAAAAGATAAGGTTATTTCAACAGGATAAGAGAAGGCTTCGGTATTACCGCGTTGTAGATTAGTGAGTACGGTTGCATGTGGCCGATACGGTAAGAAGGCACTTTTTCGTTTAGTTGAGTTGTGATCATGCAGAATATTTCCTGCAGGTCTTACGCCACTTCCAGTTGCTGAAATTGATTGAGGTGGCGGTGTTACCGTCGATGTAGGCGATAAATGTTCATTACGTTGTGAGAACCACTTTAAACTGTAAAATCAAACAAGTAATTATAAATAAATTAATTTCTTCCTTATAGCAATATTTTTATATATAATGTAAGCTCTATTAAATTGATGCTGCATATAAACCTAAAGTCTTTTTATTATAATAGTTGCAGCTGGAGAAGATCTATATAGTAGGAGAAATAAGAGGAAATTACCAAATACGAATACATGGGTTACATGGATATGGATTAGGTAAGGGATAAGTTAGAAGAAATCAGTTTGTTCGCAAAACAGAATGGGTGAGGAGTGGTTGATAAAGATATAATTTCTCGTTTCGTTATTTCAAATATATTTTAAATATAACACTTGTTTAGTTAGAAAATTGTGGGTATGTTAGTTCTTTACAAAAACCCGAATAATTATTTACAACTCTAATAACTGAGGATTCTGCTATTATCTTAAGACTTTTTATATAATTGCGGTTTGAGAAACTTTGTTTTATATTAAGATGAAAGCATAATGAAACAATGAAATAATTTTTTAACTTTAAAGCACTCATCTACTACGAACTGGTATGATACCAAGGGTGGTTGGGTCAACATCCTGGAGCCACTTGTCGAGGTCGACAACCAAGTGTCGTGAGCGGTAGGGTCAGCATCCTGAAGCCACTTGTCGACTTCGACAACCAAATGCTGTTAAAGACTTTTAAAAAGGAACTACTACACCTGCAGATTTTTGCAGCTGAGATCTACAACAACAACACGGTCTGGTATAATTTACTTCTATATTGAATAGAAACAATTTTAGCATGCGTTAGTAATTAAAAATTTAAAAACATAAACCCTTAAACTTATACGGCCTCAACAAGTGGCATAGTCTACAAAATATTTAGATCCTCCGGCATTCACCAACATATTTGCACAAATATACTTGAGCTATACTGAGCATAGACTACAAAATATTTAAACCCTCCGGTATATTTGTACACATCTTTGTACACAAATATACTGAACTGCCTAACAAAGAGATCATTTCTTGTTTACGCAAATGACATAAACTCCATATCCGGATGGGTCAACACGCCTCCAAAGTAAACCCATATAATTTAAGTACATAAAAAAACCGATCTTGTGACATTATAGACGTTTCTGAACTACACATTGTGGTCAAATAAATTACCAGATCTCCATTATGCTTAGCAACAATTTTGAAAGAAGTTTATTTTTTCTTATAAGAAATTTTCTTCATATCTTTTTTCACTTAAATTAATAAATAACTAACATTAAAACTACTAATTTTATAATTATTTTTAAATCATATTTAAAATCATTTTTTTTTAAATTTGTGCAAAATAATTGGCAACACTTAAATTCGGCGCCACATTTTTGCACAATAAACCGATTCGCACAAACAACAACAACAAGAAGAAGAAGAATTGGCATTGAGCAAATACTTAGATAACAACAACAACAACAATAATAACAAATCCACATGCGTATCACGTATTTGGGCAAAACAATATATAACGACGTCTTCGTCTCATCGTATGTTGACTGTTCTGTTCTGTTCTTTTCTGTTAATCTTCACATTTTTTTTCTTCTTACCATTAAACACACAAATTGAATAAAACTTTTTGCCGTTTAAAATGCATATCAATATAATTAATGTTAAAAAAAATTTGAAAAAAAATAAATAAAATAAAACCAAAAAAAAAAATAAATAACTGCACTTACCGGCTTTGTTCATCCTCGGAATTTGTTATTGGTGAATTTACCGGTGAAGACATTTTTTCCAAAAGAAATTATCTTTATCTTACGCTCACTTGCTGCTGCCAGGCCAAGTCACTCGATTCCCCTACAATAATAAAAAGAAATTTCAGCAAGCAAAAAAATGTGGAAGAGCACGAAAAAGACAAAATTTTTTTTATTCTTTTTGCACACACTTTCGTACAAAATGGCTGTGTTATTGCTATCCCACTCTGCGCTCTTCACTGTTCCCTATTCACTTTTTCCTTTTGTTTTTTGTTTTCTGTTTTCTGTTTTCACGTTCCAATGTCAAGTTTCCCAAAATTTAAAATTTAAGGAGAAGTGCCCGAGCTGTTTTGTGAGATTGCGAAAAAAAAATAAAAAAAAAAAAAACTCTTTTGCTGTTAAGAAATCTTCTTGGCTGCACAGCACAGCACAGCCATAACATAAAAATGTGTCCGTCTTTTCCGTTTAATGCTATTTCTTCACTGCCTGCACTTACCAAACAAAGTACGCAATGCAATACACACAATTCCAACTTGTTTAATGCGCGCTAATTCTGTAACAAGCACGCGCTCTTTTGCCTGTGATGTTTTTAAACCACGCATCCATCGAACACCGAACAACAGCCCACCAAAATATTTTTACACTTAATAAAACTGCGCCACCACTTACAATACAATATAATGCAATACAATAAATATGTATTTCATTTATAATTTCTTCTTTATTTGCTAATCATACTTGCGTTCACAATTATTCGCTTTCAATATTTACGCGCTTGAATTTAATTCTGCATTGCAATTTCGAAGCCGAACCAACAATTTCGAAATGCGTACACGATAAGAAAAATATTTTGTTTTTGTGGTGTGTTGTGTTGCGACCGACCACCATGCAAGTACAGTATGTGCAAAGTTATTTTGTGCTATACATATGATCGAGACTCGATTTTAACGAAACATGTTGGCATAAATTGGCATAATTGAAATGAACAATTTTTTGTTTGTTTGTTTAGAATAGAAATAGTAAATTATTTATTTAATATATTTTATTGTTAATTATAATTAAAACTTTATTTTATTATTTTGTTATTATTATTTTATAATTTTTATATTAAAAATTCATATCAAAACAATAAAAGAATTTTGTTGATAAGAACAGTGTAGGTAATTCAAAATTCAAATACAAACAATAGGATTTTAATAAAAAATATATGGTGTATATATAAATATATATATACAACATTTTAGATCATTTAAAATTCAAGTAAAAACAATAGGTTTTTAATAAAAATATATGGTATATATATAAATATATATATATATTGTAGGTCAGTTAAAAATTGAAATACAAACAATATTTATTTATATATTTATAATTAATATGCAATAAAAACAATAGGTTTTTAATAATATACATAAAACACTGTTTTAAAAATGGTTTTCGTTTTTTAAAAGAATTTTATTGAAATCAATACTTCGACTAAATTCTATAGTCATCATCAGGATATTATCTGATGACTATTATTAAAAACTTAATTAAAACTATTATTAAAACTTTGACGTGAAATCGCCCAATAGCCGGAATTACGGCCAGTGATTGTTTTTGTACCAAATATGATGACTATAGAATATAGTCGAAATATCAGTTTAAATAAAATTTTTTAAAAAACAAAAATAATTTTTAAAAACATGGATTATTTAACTACTGACCAATTAGACAGTTAAAAAATAAAATTATTATTAAAAATATTTGCTCATTAAAAATATATATATATATATATATATAATTGTAAGTTGAATCTATTTGTAAGTTAACACTAACATTAATTTTAAAGTTAATTAAGAATAAGAAACTGGACTACTCGGTCCTTCGTTCTAACATATATTATTTTTAATAATTTAATAATAATATATGTTATATAGGCGGTGTGCGAATTCGAGTAAATTGAAGTAAAATAAATTGAAATTTCCTAGAGAATTTTTGCACTGCACTTATGTAAATATTTATTTATTTATTTATTGCACTTATTTATTATTTTTAGTTAAAAATTTTCAAATTTATTTATTAAACATTTAAAAAAATTTTTTACAAAGGTAACACCTAATTTATCTAATATTTATTTCGCTGCCATACCGACATCATTTACTATTTTCCTCAATTTAACATTAATTTACTCGAACTCGCACACGGCCATATGTTATTAAGTTATAAATTTATTAAGACCTAAATAACTTTTTAAAAATACTATTGAAATGTATTATATAAAAACTATAAATAAAAAATAAATACGCAAAATAAAGATAAAAAATTAAATTTTATGTTTTGGTAACTTTCTAAGAATTACGTACATATATAAAAATTTTCTGAACAGTTAAATAAAAAACTGAGTTAAGTTTTTATTAAAATTAATTCTATATACCTCTGTACTCTCCACCAACGTTTCAAATTTATTTAATTACTTACTTGAGGTTGGATCATCATCATCTTCATCAGCGTTACAGTTCGGGGTTAGCTTTAGCTACAACAACTAGATTTCTCCATTCTGCTTTGCATGTTGTTTTAGACCTTCAATTTTAGGTACCTAATATTCTGATTTTGTCGGTCACGTTGTCGAGTCTACCTTATATGTGGCCTACCTCTGCTGTGGTCGTTATACGGCGTAAAATTTAATATTCGCTTTTGTGGTCTGTCATCCAGCATTTTCATCAAGTGTCTGATCCGTTTCTTGAGGCTGGATATTAGAATAACTCCGGATTCTTATGTTTATATTGTAAATAATTTTTAAATTCTGTTTCACTGAAGCAAAATAAATTTATTTATCATCGTTTGTGTTCTTGAGGAGTTTCCTCTAAGTTCAAATCAGAAAATGTGTGGCCACTGTGGACCTAATAGAGTGTAAAGATGTTTTATTGCATCATCAAATATAATCAAAAATAAAGTTGGGGACTTCTCTCTAATATTACATTTCACATTTCTGCTTAACCTTTCAGAAAAGCAAAGAATAGTTCATCACTGGGCGCAGAGTCACGAACAACTGATGCTCGAGAGCTGATCAAATACTACATTCACATTTATCGTGTAGTAGTTTATTGTAAATATATAATTACTAATAAGCCAGATGCATTGAGACTTGAACTCACTAAAACCACCAATTAGGAATAACTTGAGGAGATCTTAGCCATTAGACTTGAACGTCATCTGGTTAATCTATAATTACAGTAATCAGTAAAAAAAAACCAGATGCATTGAAGTATTGTAATCTTATATAGATGAAATACAGTGACTTTAGCTCAATAGTTGTTTCCCTTGCCAAACATAAAGCATTTTGCCGTAGGAATCACAATCAAAATGTTACTCTTTAAAGTGTTCGGTTTGAGGATCAGAATTATTTGCATGGCTTACAACAAAGCCATATAGTCACATAGTATACGATAAGTATATCCTTAAGGCAGAGATAACATTCCATCAAAGTAGATATACACATACTGTTGTCTGGCAACAAATCAATAACCTGAACTCTGTTCTACAAGTGATAGCTCTTTGTAATTAAGTAGACTCAGCAGGTCTTTGGTCATGCGATTACTAGAAGTGTTGCCACTATAGCGTCGTCTATCGATATTTATTCAATTATTAATGAGAGATTTATTTGTGAATCACTCGATTCCATAATTAGACTAAGATCCTCTGTGTATGTATGACTGAAATATCATTGTTTCTTTTAAAAGCGTCAAGTTTTTTTTTTTTAAAAGTTGTTAAACTTATCATTCAGGTTTTGGTGTTCTTTTACCTAATCGGGGTGTCATTACCTTTTGCGGCGTTGTTCGTATACTGATCTTTCAGGCTATTTACATACTAACGCTATACTTCTGTGGGCTTTTGGATACAGGACCACCACTCCAACCTACCTACCTATTATTTTCTCAAATTTAAACATTTGTTGTTAAATGTTTTACAATATTTTAGGAGTGTTTTTACTTCACATCAAACATAAATTCTGAGGACCTCTTATATATTAAATAATATATATATAAATAATATAATATATATTAACATTAAATAATATTAAGAAATTTCATTAAAATATATTTCCAGCTCGTTACCTTATGTTCGATTAATTGGTAGTACCGATAAGATTTAGTGCCGGTGACAAAATATCTGTTCCGCTATATAGAAAATTCTTCGATTTTTTAATGTTAAAAATTTTTATACCGATATTAGAGACATGAATTTCATATTTTATATTAATTATATAATACTATATAATATATTATATTATTATTTTATTTTATATTAAATTAATTTCATTGTTCTACAAAAAACTAATATAATGTTTTCATAGAGCCCGGGACTCATTTTATCCACTAAAATTTACTTATCTGGAAGTATGTATGTATTCGCTCGCTTATGATAATAATAAAAATATATAACATATATATTATATGTAAAATAGAATATTTTAATTAAGCTAAACAGTTTTAAAAATAAATTTATTAAATATTTTTATATTATCTTATTTTTATAGTTGCAAAGAATAAGATTAATTCAGTTTGATTTTATTATTTATAATTATAAAGTTTATGTTTATATTTATAAAAATAAATAAATTAATAAACATTAACTCTATTAAAATGTTTAAGTTATTATCAATTTTTTTTTTTCATCCAATAGTTATGCTATGAAACTCGCCTTAGTGTGACCAGGACGGACAGACAGAAATACCAAATAGAATAGGAAATGCTTGGTTTTAGAACAAAAATGCTTTATTGTATCTCACATAAATGATATGATAAATTATATTAAGAGAAAATGTTTTTTTTTAAATAATATTGTGAAATAAGCAAAATAAATTAATTAAAAAGATAAAAAATTTTTAGACTTAAATAACTTCTTGACTGATACTGGTATATCCGATAGATTAATATAGCAGTCCATAATAAGTGAAGTCTTGGAATTCATATATACATATATGTATGTGTGTATGTATGTGTGAATGACGTTATGATAACATTGAGGAATTTTATTTATTGGTTTCTTAAGAAAACATATAAAACTACAGTGAAAACTCCAGCGGATATTGGTCGTAAGCCAACTTCTTTCTGTTCGGGGATATCCTGCATTGAGAGAGTTAAGTTTATAATATTATATAGTATTATATTAAAAAATATTTAGTGTAAAAAACATTGTTTAATGAAAAGGTGTGTTCATTCACAGCTACATACATATGTCACCTTGGAGAGACATCAAACTAACTTAATTATAAAAAATTAAGACAGTAAACTATTCTCAGGAATAATTAATTTTTAAAATTCCAAATTAAAATGAAAATATTTATCTAACTATATATTAACAATTTTTATTTTATTTTAACAACCCCAGTTTTTTATGTTACAATTTAATTATAATTTCTAGGATCTCCAAAGAGGACAGTGACTCAATAACAAAACACATTGCAAAACCGGTTTCGGCCATTTTTTTAGTATATAATTTGCTGTTGTACAGTAGTCTTTCTTAATGCAGTGGACTATATCGTCATCGATTTAATTTTTTTTTTTACGTCTTTCCTTTACATCCGTAAAAATGACTGTACCCTTTTCGTATCGACCATTTGACTTAGTCCGCCGTAATTCATAATAAAATGTGTGAAAATGGATGTATTACTACTACCAAGCTGTCGTCGATTCACTCTGTCTCTATGTTTAACTAGCAATTTAATTTTAATTAACATATTCAGCTCTTATATTGATCGAATGTACAGTCTTCAATGCTTTTAAATTCTTCAACTTAACAGATGATGAATAATGTTGATATATAAAAAACGAAAAAAAAAAATTATCTTCTAAAAGATGTGTTGAGCTTCTTTTAATGTCCGGTGATAGAAGTTTGTTAAGATAGTTAATAACACGCAAGTACGTTATAACTTCAATATACGCATATGTATGTATATGTACATATATCCCTTAATGTGTATTGGACTATGTACTCGCATGCGCTCTTTTAATGGAAATATTCTAGAAGAATACCAGCCTATAGGAGCGACATACGGCTCATATTAGCGCATGTTAGTGTACTTAAAGAGAAAATAACTAGAGGCATTAATTTGAAAATTTAATTTAAAGTCTAAATGTGGCGCTAATACAATCTATATATATTTTTTAATTCAAGTTCTTAAACCAAGTGAAAAATGATCAACCTCTTGAACATAATATATAGTGACATCTATACTCGTGTCTTGTAGTTTTTAGCATAACAATAGGCGAAATATATTAATCTTGATGTATTTATTGTACATATATTTTGTAAGACCTGTAATAATAGAATTTAGTGCGGAGAATATCGAACCCATAATATACATATATGTATATCAAAGTAGTTCAACAGTGCTATAGAGAAAAATCTGCTGGTATAAAAGCAATGCAGAAATCCACTGCAATCATATTTTTATACGAATTTAAAGTGGTATCATCAGCGGCGTAGAGAGAGTTACGATTGTGCCGATTGTAAGACCTTTAATAATAGAATTTAGTGCGGAGAATATCGAACCCATAATATACATATATGTATATCAAAGTAATTCAACAGTGCTATAGAGAAAAATCTGCTGGTATAAAAGCAATGCAGAAATCCACTGCAATCATATTTTTATACGAATTTAAAGTGGTATCATCAGCGGCGTAGAGAGAGTTACGATTGTGCCGATTGTAAGACCTTTAATAATAGAATTTAGTGCGGAGAATATCGAACCCATAATATACATATATGTATATCAAAGTAATTCAACAGTGCTATAGAGAAAAATCTGCTGGTATAAAAGCAATGCAGAAATCCACTGCAATCATATTTTTATACGAATTTAAAGTGGTATAATCAGCGGCGTAGCTACGATTGTTCCAAGGGGTGAAAAGGATACAAACAAGAAAATATATTTTGTTGAAGTTTCTTTGCATATAATTATATTAATTATAATATGATTTACCAGTAGTTTATTTTATATAGACATCCAAACGTACATATATAGATATGTGTATGGAGGTTGTAATATTTTTGTTGGTATTATTTTATTGAGGGAGGTCAAGATTCAACTAGCATCGTTACGTCATTAATGATGATCATTATTTTATTAGTATTTTTATAAATGAAATCTTTACTCAGGAATTGGAACTAATGGCGTCTTTGATTAGTAAATAAGGATTCAATCTAAACCTACTTAAGATCTGTTAAATTTTTTTGTACAATCAAACCTTTTTAGAGTATTCTACATATATCTAATCAAATCATATATTAGGTCTGTTCCACGAGCTACTCATAGTAACTTTTAGTAAACACTGTGTATACACAAGCGCGTTCCACCAGCAAATTTTCAAGTATTTTTGTATAAATTTTACTTCTGTTTTACTCAAAAGTAAAATTCTGAGTAAAACACGAGTAGCTCGTGGAACAGACCTATTATTTGTCAAATCATATTGTCAGACTAAACAGCTGTTAATTTTAAGGCAATCTTGTTACCCCGGCAAAATATCTAGAGTGTTGTAAATTAATCTCGCGTGTTCTACATTTTGCTCATTCATTACTATTTCTAATTAATATTATTACTTATACAGTAATAGATCAGAATGGTAAACTTTTGATTAGCTATAGATTATGTTATCAAGTGCGCGTCCTTTATTTTCTTTCGCTTCCCTCCGTAAATAGACCGTAATATGTACATTTGTGAACTTGTGAGGTACAATACAATTATAGAGCGATTTTAATTTTTTTCCACTGGTGGAGCTACAGTAATCCTGAGACGTAGACGATGTCGCCAATTAAAGTACCAGGAATTGAGAAGCCTTGTACTTCATATTATGTGTGTGAGAGTACTACCTACTAAAAGCACTTCTGAATTTTACCACTTCAATTAAGCAGTGAAAAGGTAAAAGAGCGCATTAGTGGATTCTAAGAAGACAACAATGGAGTTTGGAACGACAACAACCAGTACAAGTCTCAACACTAAATGATCACGATCCAAATGGCGAAGAAATAAGACAATGCTTGGCTCAAATATATAGTAAGTTTTATTTTAATTAATAATAAGACTAATAACTTATAAATAAACAATAAATAAAGATATAAAAATATTAAAAAAAAACACACTTTAAGTATATTAACAATAAAAAAAGATATAAAAAATTAAGAATAAAATACATTTTAAATATATTAACAATAAATAATGATATAAAAAATTAAGAATAAAATAATTTTTAAGTATATTAACAATAAAAAAAAGATATAAAAAAATTAAAAATAAAAAATATTTACAAAAGATATAAAAAAGATTTAAAAAATATATATAAAAAAGATATAAAAAAATATATGGTGGCTAGTCACTGGAATCCACATCCGTTACGACTCTTTCGTGCTGATATCTTCTTTCTATCGCAGCCGCTATTCGCGTCAAAACATTATTCCTGGAATGCAAAGTTTTAATCAGCTCATTATGATTCTTATTTGCATTGTCTAGCAAATGTAAAAACTGTTCTTGAAGATTAATTAGTTTATCCAGTCTTTCTTGCGTTTCTGCATCATCCATTTTCCTTTTTCTTCTAGGCGTTTTCTCCGTATTGTCTTCTGAGACTTCAGAAGTGGTAGAAGACAATGGTGAAGATGCAGACCCTAATGGTTCCGGTTTCTGGTCTAATTAAAAATGAATTAATTAATTTTATAATTTAAAAAAAAATATCTACAAACGTACCTTCAAAACTATTGGACACTAACGCAGAGAAGCCATAATTCGGCCAGTTTTCCATAATTCTATTGAGGTTGTTAAAAAACTTCCACGTTGATGGGGACCCTTCGGAAACGCGCACAATTTGCTGTTCCTTTCTATTTTATTAAAGATGAAACTAATTAGCAAAATAATTGATGACATATATTATAAATTGTTAATTAATTAAAACAACTAAAATTAATTAGAAACGATGATACGGTTTTAATTACCAACAATTAATGATAAAAATAGAAATTACAGTTATTGCACACTTACCTAAACCGTTTGGTAAAGTTGTCCACTTTCCGCAGCACTTGAGGATTGGTAACTATGTAACCCCTTTCACACATCAGCTTGGTCATATCTTTATATATGAGGTCACTTCGCCGGTAGCCCGGCAATTGAGAAACATTTTTCTCCCATAATTCTACAAATAACTGCTCACAGCTCTCAGTCCATAAATACTTGACCCTTTTGTTTGATTTTTTCTAAAGTTAATAATAATTTATTTTATTAAATTACAAACCAATTATAAATACGCAATACAAACTTGTGAGCTCTGATCCATTTTGTTTCCTGATTTCTAACTGAAATGAATATTTTTTTTAAATAATACATGACATTCCATAATGATATCAAATATATATTTGATATATAAATTTATTTTTATATATTAATTATGTATTTTATTTATTAAAAAACAAATACATATTTAAAAATATTTTTACCTCTTGTCTGTCACGACTTGTTGATTGTTTGTTTATGTTTACATTTTGCTTCATCTGTCAAAAACGTCAAATTTCGATCCTTTGCAATGTTGCATTCTTCAATTTTGGTCTAATTTTGGTCTAATTTTGCTTACTATATTTTCCAGTAATGAAATTTACTCAAGTAAATTACAATCTCAAGTAAGTTAACTGGTCTAATGAAGCCAGTGGAAACGTACTATTACGTACTTTTATTAAATCCCAATAATTCCTTTTTTGAATTTTATTACAACTAATATTTTACTTGAGTTTTATTATTAGCACTTTCCAATTTAAGACTATTATTAAATATGTGTTTCCTTTTGATGTTATTATATACGGTATAAACTTTGCATTTTAAAAACTGTTTAAGTGTATCGTAAAGTAGTGAATTGCAACAACAAGAATTCTTTTTTAAAATAATATTTAATTAATTGAATTTTTGGCTGACCGTACAACTGTTTCAAACATTTCCAAATACCCATCATCAGTGATCTTGCAATTATTTCTCGTATTTAATTATTCGTAAATAATTTTTATTTTTTTGAGACTGCAACCACGGTTGCCACTTGAAAATTTTTTTCTGTACCAAAATTGATTTAAAAAGGTACCATTTCTGTAAAAAAAGGTCCAAATTTTTTTTGGACCTTTTTGTTTTCTCGTTCTGTGTTTTTCATAGTGTTATAAATGAACAAAATATAAAATAGTGCAAAGTTGCATTTATAAAAAAAATTAATTGGAAATATCCACAATAAAGTTGGGTCGTCGAAAATGTACCAGTTTTTGAACATGAGTACCAAACGAAAAAAAAAAAAAAAAAGTACCAATTTTGGTACTATAAGTGGCAACCGTGACTGCAACTACCAAAAGTTGAACTCGTGCCCTGTCAAATTTGAAGCTTAGAGTGACCATTCATTACTCAACTGATCCAATCCCGAAAGTGTCTATATAAATATCAAGACAAATGCCAAAATGAGGTACATATAATTGGCAAATTTAAATTTGTCATACAAATATCAGACAAAATACATGCAAATATTTGCAATTAAGCGAGTACTTATATATTAAGTCTGTTGATTATCTTAATGAAGTTTTTTAAAAAATATATTGTTGTATGGCAATATATATCATGAAGATATCTAAAAATATATCCCCTAAAAATATTTAACACAATTAATAATTAAGTTTGACACATTTTTATTTGGCAGTGCTGTAAAATTTTGACAAGCAAAATAGATAAGAGCAAATGTCAAAAAATTTGACGTCTAGACAAATGTCACACACAGCTGCTGCTAAATTGCAAACGAAAAAATAAAAACAGCACAATTGCTTAATATTAGTTAGTATTTTTGCAATATTGACAAAAATGTCGATTCCAGTACCGGGAATAACAACACACGCACGCCAGGTTTGCAGTCTTTATAAACGTGCACTCCGTAATTTAGAATCATGGTACGATGAGAGGTAAGTGGTTTGCTTGAAGTAATCAATGTTATGTAATTTAAGTATATTATTATATTTTTTTACAATTAAACTTATTTCAGATATATATTCCGCTACCGTGCCGTTTTGTTGCGTCAACGTTTTGAAGAAAATCGCTGCGTTGATATGGCTACAGCTGTCAGTCTGCTTAAACAGGGTGAACAGGAGGTATTCGAAACCCAACATTATCAACCAAGGAAATGTACGTTAATTTTAATATAAATGCATATGAAACACAATTTATTATGTTAATTCATTAAACTACTCCTACTATAATGTTGCATGTGCTGTTTTTATAGTTCCTGGCAGCCCTGGAGGTTGTGCTTATGAGCGTGAAGTCATTCCACCAGACTGGGTACTTGACTATTGGCATCCATTAGAAAAAGCACAATATCCTGAATATTTTGCTAAACGTGAACAACGTAAGAAGGAATTTGTTGCCTGGTGGGAGAAGCAGTACGGCAAACCAAAGGCAGAGGACTTGCACCACTAGTGATAATATAATTCTAAAAATTCATCAACAACAACAAAAATACACACACACTTTGATAAACAAAGGGAATAAATATTTGGCCGTATTTAATGTTGCAACAAAATACAGCGTCCAACATATATTTTTCCATAATGTTTTTAATTTATCTTCATCAAGTGTGTGATTACTAACGATCAACACAAAGCGATTAGGGATTGTTGGGATTGTTGACTGTTATTTGATAAAAGAATAAAATCTGCAATATAGATAAGATATATAATAACTTAAATATATATATAATTGAAAGCATAATATCCTTAACTAGAACACATTTTCATCTCCATATTAGCAGTCACAACAATAACTTCGTTTAGTGCTTAAATGTAATTTAATGGATCTTAAAGAATATATAAGACACAAAAAAAGTGTGTCACAATTTAAGCAGAGCTTTCATGCATAGATTGTACATCATTTTTCCTTCAGCTTCGTCACTTGAAAGTGGTACTCAGCGTTCTAGTTGAAGATTTTACAAGCGAGTTTTTATGATGGGTTACATCAAGAGTTATGTGCTCTTGGATTACGATTACCTTTACTCGTCATAGACTTTACAGCATATTTTAAGAATAAGAAAATTCACTAAACGTTATTTAATCACAACTATAATATCCTCTGTTCGATCTCGATTGAGTTTTCTTTGAATTTTCAATTATGATGACTGCTCATTTTAACAAAAATTTACTGGTTGGTACGAGTATATCATTTATTAAGTTCTAGAAATACATATAGCTGCTTCTCCTACTTTAAATTTATAAGCAGAAATTTTAATGGGTAGTGGGTAGTGGTTGTGGAAGAGGGAGAGGAGAAGAGAATGGGGAGGATTTTTATTAAATTGAACATTAACCTGGAACCAGCCGAAGAAACCTGGCTGCTTCAATGAGGTGAGTCCTAAAGCCAATTGGACGAAGTTTCGTGTGTGTGGTACGACAGGATAACAGATGGGTGACGTCATGGGGAGAAGAACTGTAGTTAGTTGATACTTAATAATTAGTTTAATATTATTATTATTTAGAGCTGCATATACATATACTTATAGTCTTAATTTGTTAATTAATCTCTCAACAACTCTTAATTCAAATTTTAAGACAACAACCACTAAACCTTCAAAGAGCTGCTCACAGCAATTGTCAAAAGAATATTAAAAGCCGGTTTGTTGAATTGGGTAAAAAAATCTTATAACTTCGGATTGAGCCAGGAAGTATAGCAATAAAACTCTATTGAACTAATTAAAAATGCTCTTTGCGAGACTAAGAAAGAAATAAGAGAACAACTTAAATGATGACAATGATGATTTTCTTAAGTGATATGGGAATGAACATGTCTATATCTCTGTAATACATAAAAAAAAATTCTTATACCATTTAGTAATAATAGACCTCTAAACAGTGCTCAGGTCATTAAATTTTTCCCTTTTTAATTAGGGTTTTTTAGTGCCTTTTATTTTGGCGGATATTGGAAGATTTCTGTCATCCAGAAACCATTCTCTGCATTTATAGTGCTTTGATATGCAGCATTCGATATACTTGATACTAGCAAAATAAAAGAAACTAAACTGATTATACTTAATAATATTGATTATGTATGGTATTCATTTTAGCTCAAACAAGATTGGAACAAAATGTGAGTTGTTGGGAAAGCCCACCAGATGACGCTAGTAATGTGATGTTACATTATTTTCTAAAAAATAGTAACTTTCATCTGTTTATTTTTAAATTTCGTTTAAAATTCACTATCTGATATTTTTTTAAGCACGTTTGAAAACTTTCCATATTTTGGAGGATAAAAAATATTGAGTTTCATTTCACATTATATATGTAAGGGTAAACACTAAAAGAAATTAAAGTGGAGTTAGTTAAAGTTTATGTTACGTCTATATCAGCATTTGGGACTATATATAATTTACTGAATAAATTAAGACATAGTAGGTATGTCAATATGTCAAGACTCAAGTTATATCCACACAAAGTTTAGTGAAAAAAAATGTTCAGAATTTCAAAATATACAAAATTTCGTTGGCTAATAATAGATAATACATACTATTTTAGTATTATAAATTTGTATATAAGTTGTAATATTATTTATTATTAAAAGGCTAAGCCATAAATGGCACTTTTACCCTTTTGCAATTAACTTGAGAAATTCGTAGTAATAAAAATCACTTTTTAATTGTTTATATTAAATTAAAATTGTGCTATTAAGGTTCACTAATTATAAGTGCATTTATAGAGTATCATTAAATAATTAAAATCATAAAATTTATTTAAATATGTTTCCGTATTTTTCAAGTAAAATTATAAAGGAAAATAAAATCATTCATCTTAAATCATATATAAACCAAAAATACAATAGATGCTTTCGGCAGCTTTTAAGTGAAGCAAAAAAACAGCAAGTAGCTAGCTTAAAGTTTCTAATTTGTACGCAAAGCAACAACACTACTTGCTCTATCTAAGCACCTGCTTGTGTAAAGCAAAATTTTGTTATCCATTTTTCGAAGAAAATTTGCTTTATATTATATAAAAACTAAGTGTATTTAGGCCGTTTGCAAGTTCCAGTAAATTGAGGTACAGTAAATTGAAATTTCCTAAGGATTTCTTGCACTGCACTTATGTAAATATTTATTTATTTATTTATTGCACTTACTCATTATGTTTGGTTAAAAGTTTTCAAATTTATTTATTAAACATCTTATAAAATTTTCATAATGGTAACAACTAATTTACTTAATTTTTATCTAGTTTACCCTACTCGGAGTTTTGGTAAATACCAACATTATGTCGGTATGGCAGACATAATTTACTATTTTCCTCAATTTACTCGAACTCGCACACGGCCTTTGAAGAACAAGTTTTTTGTTTACTATTATGTGCCTTTTATTGCAAAATTTTTGATCAAGTAATATAGTTTTAATTAATTAAAACTTAAGATAACATCTTAATAAAAATTCGACGCTAATTTGACAGTTAATTTCCCAAATTTATCAACAATGCAATTCTAACTGTTCGACGCTAACCATTTTGACATTTAAAATCCCACATTTGTTACAATGCAATTTCAACTGTTTTGCATGCACAAGTTAGTGCACATTTAAATTAATTATATTGAATATGTTGATTGAAGAAGATATATAATATTATACATCAAACGTCTTAGAAAAATTCTAGTTTCTTATTTTGATAATATCTCGACGCGAATTATTTTGACATTTAATTTTCCAAATTTATCATCAATGCTATTCCAACTGTTGTGCATATTTAAATTGATTATATCTAATTTGTGAATGAAACAAGGTATATAATATTACATATTTATCGTTTTAGAGAAAATTCTAGTTTCTTATTTGTATAATATTTTCGATGCAGCAAATTTAATAAAAATTCGACGTTAATTTTTCTTTTGCAATCCTACGGATTTGCCAATAACTTTTCAACTGTATGTTGTGCTTTTTCAGTGCTATTTTAATGGGCTATTGAATTTTTCAGAGAATTTAATTTAGGATGGCACGCCATCTATTAACACAATTTGTACAAAACTTATGAATTATTAATTTAATTAAACTGATTTATATTTTTTAGAATTAATTGTAATTATTAGGATATTGTATTCAAAATTTTTTCTATATTAACTGTTTTCAGACTTCTGGTTTATGTTTTTTTTTATAAGGCAAACGTTTTTTTTTAAAGAAAATCAATTTATGAACTTTAACGGTCAATAGCTTTTAAGTTTTTTTAACAAATTATAAATACCATTACGCGAAAGCTAGAAGTCTCCTCTTTCAATTTAGCTAATTTGCTTTTAAAGTTATAATTAATTTTGTAATGCAACCTTTTTTTACAATATTTTATTTTCCATTTTTTGAACAAAAAAAAACAAAATATTATGTATAAACTGATTATATTTAGAAAAACAAATATATTTTTTACTGTTATTTATCTTATATTTTATAATTTTGATTAAGTAATAAAGTTTTAAATAATTAATGTTTGAAAATTACATATCTTTCTTCATCTCAGCACTGCTCCTAAGTTAACCCCTTTCAGACCACCGTGTGCACCACACAGCTAGCTTTGAATATTTTTTAATATTCAAAGAATATTATATCTTTTTTAGGTAAAGATTAAGTGAGAGTAATCTTTTTTTTTTTTTTTTTAAATAAATAATAAACACTTGTCATTTTCTCATTTAAATTCCAAGTCCGAAATTGAATGGTACTTAATGGGTTAATCCACCAATATGTATGTACATATTTTTACATTGTATGAAAGGTAATTTGAACCTCTTTCTAATGAGATATAAAAGAAAAATGAGATATAAAAAATGAGATCTCTAGTTTAAAAGTTATTAATAAATTAGTGACCCCATCTTTTGGGGCTGATTTTTGATTTTAATTTTTCATACAAATTACATCATTTATACATAAAAGTTGGATGAAAATAGTGAATTAATTCAATTTTCTACTTAAAAATACAAAAAAAAAAAAATAAACTTGTTAACATTATAATTAATCTATTATTTTGTAAAATTTAAATTTTGAATAATTTAATAATTTTTTATATAAATAAAATCCACTAAAAAATTCAGATCAAATAAATATTTAAATATTAAATATTTTATATAATTCTTTACCTAAATATAAAAAATTATAAATTAATTCATATGTTACAATATTAGGCATAAACCATATAGAACCACAAGAAATTGAAATAAAATAATTTTATGAAGATTTATTGCAAAAATATAAAGAAATTTTTGAAATATAATATCCTAAAAATTCCCCCAATTCACATACAAATAAAGTCAACACTTTTAATATTATAGGTAGACAAATTATTGCAGGTGTTATAAATAATAATCAGTTTTTATTCCCCCTCCAATAATTCTTATAATTAATAACCCTAAAATTCCTTTTCATAATGGTTTTTATATATGTTTTTATCCGGCTATATAGGACACCTTTTGTTAAATAATTCAACGTTTGTTAAATATTTTTTAATATATTCTATATTTAGACTCTACTTGAGAGTCATCATCAGGAACACGAACTAATATAAATTAATGTTAATAAAACTCTATCTACGTCATCCTCTTTATTCTAATGTCTATATTGCACTCCTTTTAATATAATTCAACTATTATCTCTTAATATATTTAAACTAAAATAATTAAAATTCCCAATTAACGAATAATAAACTAAACTTATGGAATATCTAACAGTTAATCCTGGAGAAAAAAAAATAAAAAAAATATAATATATTAATATAACTTAAAAATATAATTTCTAAAATTATATCCTTAGCATAAAATCCAGCTAAAAAATTATATAAATACCACATAAAGCTAAATTTGCAACTTTATAACATCCACATGTAAAAGATATATAAACTCTTAAGCCTCCCATTAAACGAATATCTGGTAAATTATTTATATTATGAATAATAGCTCCGGCACTTATAAATAATAATAATTTAAATAAAACATGAGTTAACAAATAAAAAAAAACTAATTTATAAAATTCTATTGATAAAATTCTTATTATTAAACCTAATTGACTTAATGTTGATAATGCCATAATTTTTTTTAAATCAAATTTAAAATTAGCTCCTAAACCATATATAAATATTGTTAATCCTGGAATTAATAATAAACATTGACCTAAAATTGCATCTCCAATTAACAAATTAAATCGAATTAATAAATAAACTCCAGCTATAACAAAAGTAGATAAATAAACTAAAGCTGAAACGGCAGTAGGATCAGCTCTCCAGAATTTAGGCCCCTTAAGTTATTGCAATTAACATAATTAAAACTTGAATAATTAATATATTAACATTTAAAATGTTAAACTTTAATAAAAAAATATTAACCATATTGAACTATAATTTAATATTCATATATTTATATTTTAACTATTATATTCCGCTTAACAATGCAATGCCATATTAGCTATTGTTTGATGCTTCGTTTATGTATTCTAACTATTAGTTATTGAAGTATATGAATAAAACAACTTACATTTTACAATGACTATCATTATATAGATCTAATGAAATGAAAAGTGCTATTATCAGTCAATCTGTAGTTAACTAAAAACACTAAAATTTATTATAATTTTCTTTTGTGTGAAAGCGAATGAATTTCTGTGAGCACGAATCTATGCGCCATCTACATACATAAACAATTCTCTTAGGATGCCTAATGAGGCAACGAATTTTCAGGGTGAAATTTTAGCGATTAGGAAAGCATGTCGGCAAATTGCAAGTCACATCAAGAACAGGTGTAGTGTTGCTATTTTTATTGATAGTCAGACAGCAATCAAAGCAATTGAATCCTTCATAACAAAATCAAAGATAGGTAAAGAATGTTAAGAGACAATCGACGAGCTAAACCGGTTGGTTGACATAGCTTTTATCTGGGTCCCTGAACATAGAAACATTGAAGAGAATGAGCAAGCCTACAATTAAGCACGCTCAGATGCTCCCCTGGATGCATGTGTATCAGTACCGGTTTGACCCTTAAGATCATTAGGGGAACTACTTACCTCTACTTTTTTCAGCTTGCCAATAATAAATGAAAGTCACTTGAGTCATGTGCAACTTCTAGGTTAACATGGTTCATCTATAATAAAACTAGATACTGGGAACTTATCAAAAGAAACCGCGTGAACACTGCAAGGCTAACTACAGTTCTTTCTGGTTATTGATGTATAGGAACCCACGCAGAGAAACTGCGCGTTCCTCATAATTCTCACTGCAGAAGTTATGGAAATCTGCAGGAAAATAGGCTAGAAGAAATAGGCTTTTAGGAAGATATTTCTTTGACAGCTTACCAGACTGTTCTTCGGTAAGGAGAAAGGATCAATTGAATTATCGGAAAATCAGTAATTGCAGTACATGGAAAGTTGTCTGATCGCCTTCTACTGCAACCAACCAACCAACAATCCTCACTGTGGTTGGGATTTTTCTTTATTTAAAATTCTTTCAAATAGCTAAGTTGGTCTACTTATATTTGTTTATTTATATAAGAACTTTACTTATTCTGAAATGTTATTGTAATGGTAATTAATATTTATAAAATAATTTAAGAAAAAATATTATCTTAAAAATCTTAAAACATTTTTAAAAAAACTTTTTTTTTCAAAAACCCAATCGTTGGTATTTTCCGCAAAACCCGTACAATCTTCGAAGGAGACATATATATAAATTTGCTTAGATACAGATATACATTATATCCACCGCATGGTGTTCATCGATTTAATTGTTCAGAAGATTTGGATTGTATAATTAATTAATAATTAATTAAGTTTATAACTTTACATTTACAGACCTATTATATGCACTTATAAACTTGTCAAACATTGATACTTGTCAAAATTGACTGCTGTAAAGGTTTTGGTATTCTGTGCCATAAATAAAAAGCTCTTTTCTTTGTTAGTTGTCAATACTACAAATGCTGTTGACAACTATAAAAATATGCTCTTTTTAAGCACTTTTTATTATTTGCATGCATGACAAATATTCTTAACTAAAATATACGCTCTTTACAAGCATATTTTTTATTGTTATTTGAATGCAAGAAAAATGCATGAAAAATGCATGAAAAATTCTTTTGACAACTTAAAATATATGCTCTTTTCAAGCATTTTTTACGAACAATTACGAACACTTTTCTATACAAAACATTTTACACCATAGTGTGGTGAGAAGCACTAGGTACTTGAGCTTTGAAATTTGTCAAGATGTGTCCAGAATACTAAAAAGCTTTCTGCTATATAAAGATCAAAAAATTTATTAAAAAATTTATTAAAAAATTTGACAAATCTGTCAAGTGCACAGAATAGTTCCGTAAGTATCATATATATTTAGTAATTAAATATTTTTTTTCGAAAACTCAAACATGGAATACACTCTAAATAATTAGTCAAGTTATATAAATATGTAAATAAAAGTTGTTAGTTTTGTAGATCTTATATAGAATTACCTTAGAAACTCATTTTTCGGTAAACTTTTATAAGTACAACATTACAAATATTTAGATTTATTAAAAAAAAAAAATTGATTGTCTAAAATTGATATGGATACACTGAAACACTGGATATGACCTTTAAGTTCGTGATTTAATAAGAAAGCAGCATCGATACTTAAATACTTAAAGGTACTTAAACGTTTCGAAGGCATTTTATGAGAAGAAGAGAACAGCTTTTATTTGCAGAATAAGAATTTGTTTACGATATAATTAAAAGTGCAATGTCGAATAGAAAAGGTACTCTTTTTTTGCCTGATGCTCCTGGCAGATTGAGAAACATGTTTCTTTCAGCTTTTATTCTGAAATTATCGGAAATTACAGTGACATATAGTTTCTATGTTTCTAGTTTCTATTATGATAGAAATTTCTGCAAATATGTTATCTGAAATGAATCTACTACGGTTTAAAAGAAATTACATTAATCGCCAGCCATATTGAACCCTTGAAGATGTACTATTAAATGTAATAGTAAATGTGGGGCTCTTGATTTACAGTGGACAATTTTAAACAGACTTTTCCCGTTCATCTTGTATTCTCAGTAACCAAAAACAAATCACAAGAACTTACATTTTTTAAAATATATGGTAAAGATTGAAATTAAAATATTATAGTAAAAATATTAAAATAATATGATTTGTTTTCTGTGAACAAAATATTAGCTTTATTAATAAATTTTAATAATTAATTAAATATATTTAATAATAATAGATATTTTATATTATTAGTATATAAATTATAATATATTTGTAATATTTATAGTGTTAAGAATATATTACAAATATGTTAAATGAATTATATTAATAAAGCTTTTTTAGTTTCAAAACTAAAAATCATGAAATATAACATAAATAAATAAATAATCAAATAAGTAATAAAATAACCAAATAAAGAAATAAATAAATAAAACAATAAATAAATCATAAATAAATAAATATACAAATAAATTAATTCATTAATAAAAAAAAAAGTAAATAAATAAAAAAAATAAAGAAATAAATAAGTAAATGAACAAAAAAAAGAAATAAATAAATTAATAAATAAATAAATAAGTAAATAAATATATAAATAAATAATTAAATAAATTTAAATAAATACATATATTAATACATAAATAAATAAAAAAATAAATATTTAAATAAAAAAATAAATAAGCAACTTATTGAGTATATAAATTAGTTAATAAATAAATAAATAATTTAATGAATACGTAAATAAACAAATAAGTTAATAAATAAATTAATAAATAAGTAAATGAATAAATAAATAAATATATTAATTAATTAAATAAATTAGATAAATAAACAAATTTAATAGATGTGATCGCCAACATTCAACAATGGATGGAGAGTTTAAATCGAAACTAAAATATCTAATATTTTGTTTTAGAAATGTAATTACAGTGAAAACTCTCCTAAGAACACCCCCGTTGTTCTCTCTTGGGTGAACAATATTTCTGAAACCACGCGGACAAAGAATTCCTACTAAATTCTGTAAAATAATCCTTTTGGCCGGACGTGAATTTCTTAATGAGGGACAAAATAAATAATGAATTAAAAAAATTTTAAGACAATCAGAATGAGTGTAAATTGGGGACTCCCTTCTTAAAAGGTGTTGCAAAAATTCCATTTAGTTTTATAGCCATCATCGAGTAGCGAAATTGATCTGTAGTTACCGCATTCAAGTTTGTTGCCTTTCTTATAGGCTTGGAAGATGAAACTGCTTTTCCATGCTTCTGGCATTTGTTTGCTGTGCCCTATTCCACATATCAAGAAGTGCGATTCGGATTCTACAAAAAAGACTTACAAAATATACCTCATATACTGTACAAGAATATAATGTTTTACTATACAGAAATTATTATCACTTATTATTATTATTACTTTATTTTTTTTTATTTATGTGTATTTAAAATTGAAATTATTACATCCTTTTATATCTAGAGTCAAAAAAAATATTTCTTATAATATACAAAAATTATTTTCTAATTTGTCGATATAAACTACACTTGTAGCCTTCTTCAGGAAACGTTCTTTTAAGAAATATCCATCCGCATTTAAGGAAAACTTTGCAGAGTTTGCTGTGAAGTGTCATTTCAGGTATAGGACGTTGAATGTTACTAAGTACAGGCAAACCACAAGCTAAATTTTCATTGACCTTTCGGAGGAAATTAACTGGAATACTATAATGCGCTAACGAGTAACTCATATCATCAACCTTTTTCATATCGAGAATGATGTTTCGGCTAAGGATAAAAATGAGGAATCTTATTATTATATTTCGATAAAGAAAATGAAGTCGTCCAGATATTACTTACATTTTCCATTTAAGTTCACGAGTTCTGAATTGTTTCTTTTTAGACTTTTTTAGAAATTTTTTAATTTCGGCATGGATAGCCCTTAGTTTCCTTTTTAAATACAGACTATAAAATATTGAAAATTAACGCCTCTTTATTATGATATCTAAATAATAATTTACAATAATTCGGGTAGTCTCATATCTGCACAATCGTATTTCGGCTTAAGCCATGCTGGTGGTGGAATAAATTTTGTTTTGACTCTAGTATTAAAGGACGTCATCTTCTTCGTTTTATTGTTTAGTGCTTATTCCTATATATTATTAGGTTTGCATTCCTCTTTAGTCGTTGTATAACTAAAGCATGAATTTGATTCAGACTCGGATTCAGACTCAATTATCATCTTTTTAGCGCGTTTTGTTTTTCTTTTTCTTACTTTCTGCTTATTATCCTCTTTATCACCAGTACCTTCGGATGCAGTCTCTTCTATAAGAAGAAGTTAAAAATAAAATTTAAGTCAATTTTAATTTGGAAACTTCCCAAAAAATGCCTACAAAGTTCTGACATTTTTTATCAACACATGCTTCAAACTGAGATACATACCCTCCTTTTGGAAAGTATCTGAAGTAAGCTGCATATGAGGTTTCTTCCTATACACCCATATCGTTACTATCTATTGTGTTGTTTAAGAAGTGACTATCAAATTCTATAGAAAAACAAAACCTGACTCAAAATCATTAATTCAGCTTTAGAACCAACCACTCAACCATTGAACCAGTCCGTCGAATTACTAACGTAATAGAAAACTGTTTGGAAAAAAAGAAAATGTATTTGGCAGTATTCCTTGATATCACAGGTGTGACAAGGTGTGGCATAAAGGTCTTATATACAATTGCCAGAACAATATTTTGCTCTTAACAAATAAATATTTTCGAGGTAAACTGCTACTCAAAACTAAAGGGAATTAAAACGACTGTTCCACAGGGAAGAGTCCTTGGTCCCATACTCTTTCTTCTGTTTGCTAATGATATCCCAGTAACAGAAACTTGTAAAATTGCTACGTCTGCTAATAATACAGCTGTACTTTCAATTGGTTCTAATGAAATGGAATCAACTAAAACCCTCTAGCTGGTCATTAATAATGTTCATCGGTGGACGAAACAATGGCGACTCATGCTTAACAATACCAAATCGGTACGCGTTGACTTTATGAATAAAAAGGTCTCTCTTTTATGTGAATACGGTAACATACTTAGGCATCACCCTAGACGCTAAACTACGTTGAAAAAAGCATGTGAAGAAAAAAAAAAAGAACTTGAGCTAAAGTTCAACCAGATAAAATAGTTTACATTGAAATCTTAAAGCTTGAATGGACATAAGGTATACAGTTATAGAAATGCATCAGTAGGAGTAATGTTATGATAATACAACATTTCCAAAACATAGTCCTGAGAAATTTTAAAAATGCACCCTGGTACATTCATGATACAGACCTACATCGTGACCTAATAATAAAACCTCTCAAGGACGTCATAAAAACGTATGCTGTTCTTCACGGTTCGAAAATTACGTGACATGAAAATGCAGATATTTTGCAATTAGTCAACGCACTAACTCAGTACCAAGATTAAAACGTATAATACCCTTTGACCTCAATAAGTAATAAAACGTTAGTATAAATATTTATAATTTATCAAACTAAAAATGCTTGTTAGTCTTAAGTATATTTACTAGTTGCATTCAATGATTACAATAAGCTAAATGCAATATGGAACAAAGAATAATGACAGTTGTAGTATTTAATAAGCAAGTGTACATTGATGAGTAACACATCGAATCACACATTTACGTCACAAAACCGATACCACTCAATTTAAAAGTTAAAATGAAACGTTCTCTTTCTTACCATCAAGAGCCTCTGAAGATTCTGACTCCGAAGAGTCACTTTCAAATTCCTTAATGTGTCCGGATTTAATAAGCCTGTCCAAAAATGGTGATAACTTACTTCCGAATGGTTCTGTTGTTATCTGTTCAGTATCTCCTTTTTGTTTTTTCCGTTGATTAGTAGTTTTTTTACGGCAACGATTGATTTCTATAAACAGATATAGTTATTCGTTAAAATACACTACATTCACTAAAATATATAAAATATATTAAACAAAATTGTGATACCTATGATATACTACATATTTTAGGCTATTAATGGGATGGCAACTTTTGTTTCCTTTACGGTACTATCAGTTCATATCTGTGGTTTCGTTTTTCAAACAGAACAGTATTTATGTCTGTTGAGTAGTATGGACGTCTACGAACTAACAGTGGACATACACCATTTAGTTACGAATGTTTTAAGATGAGGGATGGATTTGATTAAAATATTTAAATCATTCATGCTAGGGTCTTTTTTAACGTCTTACCAACTCAGTCAATGACTAAGTTGAGACGCTCCTCTCAAACAATGTGTATATTACACAATATATACACATATAAAAATAAATATTTAAAGCTCTAATATAAAATTATTAAATTGTATATCTGCTAGCTTTTCCAGGAATGTTATTCCAGAACACGCTTACTACTGCAGCAATTGATACTATTTTGCGAAAACCAAGGGCTATAAATTTCTCTGATTTCACAATTCTCCCTCAGCAACTTAGATTCTATCTTAGTTAACAGATGCCACATATTTCAGATTAAATCAAGTCACGTTTACTTGTGGATTATATGTATACAAAAGCAATTCTAAACTGCCTGATTGACTTGTTAAGTAATTGACGTATCGTAATTTTGATGAAAATGACACACTCGATGCAATCTAAAGTTATTGGGAGCATAGGATATATTTTGAAAGATCATGTTCTCAGAAACAAGTTTAAAATTTAACCAAACGTAACAGATCGTAGTTAAACTCCGAATGCAAAAATATAAATTTCATTCAGCCCATCATATATAAAAATTTGTGATCATTTTATGGTGGCAGGCCATTTTCGTAAGGTTCTGTCATCATCAAATAGTTGAACAAATCTTGTAATGCAAGCCCATGCGTAGTTGTATCAGTATAGACCTCAAGTTCTACAAAAAACATAGTTACTAGTTGAGATAACCAGAGAATACATTGAAAATAACTGTGTTATGATATATAGTTACAGTGATAGAATACATATAATAGAATATGATGGTTTCCAATTGTCTTAAAATAAGCAACGTGAGTTCGTACACCAATCATCGTTCTTTAACTCACATAGAAAGTGTTTTCAAATGAGTGAAGTATATCGTGGTCCTCTCAAATGAAATGTTCAATCAATAGTGTTTGCACTAAATTCATCCTCGTGCGTAGAATAACATTAGGGTTATTCACGAGTTCGAGTAACAAGCTCGGCAACCGAGTAAAAGTGCAACCAGTTACGCTAACTCGTGAACACACCTCATTGTGTTGATTTATTAACGACAGCTGTTAAAGACAGATGTGTTCTAATGAATTTTTAAATTACTGTGAAAACAAAATAGATACTGATATAAATATCAGTATAATTTTGATAAAAAATAGTCTAAACAGAATAAAATTGCTTAATGAAATATAATATTTAATAAAATTTATTAATGTTTAAAATTGGACATAATTTATAAGGTTTTATTATGCCATATGTGTCATTCTTTCACAAACCGGACGGATTTGGTCCTCATCATCTCAGATTTAGTTGAAATTTTTTTATGAGCTCCGTTCATAAAATAAGAAGACCTAGGAGATATGGTCCGATGGGATTTTGAGTATTGGCACTGCAGACACATTTTCAAATGGCCATATCTCAAGCTCTGTAAATGGTAGGAACTTGAATATTACTGCGTTTTAAAGATAATTGATTGAAATTTTAAGAAATTGTTTACACAATTAAAATTGTTTATATTTATTTACTAATATTAACCATTAAATTTCAAAAAAAAATTTATTTCTAAACAACTCCCCAGAATTTTTATATATTATTTAGACTCAGTTTTAAATTTAACTGCGAAATAAAAATTTTCAGAATGGTATTATTTATTAAAATTTAAAAAAATTTTTTTTTCCCCCGCAAAACATATCAAGCCCATGCGTACTATACCAATTTCTATTGACTGAATTTTCGAGGAATATACTACAAATATTCGTATACAATATTTCTAATTTCGATTAGTAATAAAATTCTACATAAAACCCAAAAATTTCAGGAAAAGTATTTTAATAAATTGATTTATCCTTTAATAAATTGATTTATATTTCCAGTGGGATTTTGCTTTTAGAAGAATTTAATAAAATTAATCTATCAGGCGTCCCTCACGTTACTCATACGCCCCATAATACCATTAAATCAGTTTTCCAACAAAATGAACACAAAAACGTTTATTTTTATTTCTAAATTGAGTTTATCATTAAATTTTACATTAAATTTTATATTAACATTTTAAATTAGTTCCGCATCATCTCTATTTTTAAGTTACGAATTTTAAAATAATTAAAACGTTTTATGAACTTTTTTCTTAGATTGATGAATCAAAAAACTAATAAGTTCCACACTAGCTGAACTACCCACATAACTGCAGCACATAATTACACCTACCTCTTTGGTGAAGTGTAATTCTTCTGCAGTTGGAAAAATACTCTGAACAGGTAAGAAAGGTTATAGGAAATAGACTATAAAGAATACGATATGAAGTGTTTAGGTACCCCTAAATATCATCGAATTTGATAAAAAATATTGACTGTGTCACAAAAGTAAACTTCGAACAATTCGCATTACAAAATGATCCTCCATCCATTACAAATATTATCCTGTTCCACCGCAAGAGATGGATGAACTAAAAAAACCGTTTTTCTCTCTTTTATAAAACAGAGAAAAGAAGAGATTTGATTGTTTATTCTGATTTCTTTTCTTTTCTGTGCATTTATTTTCAGTCCGACTTTGCAGGACTCTAAAAACAGGTTATTAAGTTTCTGTTGCATATCATCAAGCCGATAAGACAAGTCGCATTTGTCGTCAGCACAGTCCAAACACTCTAGCCTAGTGTTCGATGACAGCGTGTTCTATGCAATACTTCGTACCTTTTATTTATTTGCTCTCTTGGTCATTGTATCAAGCACAACCAAAAACAGCAGTGGGGAAAGGACGCATCCTTGACGTACGCCAGAAATTGTACAAAAGGCCTCAGACAGTTTGTTGTCGTGTAAAACTGCGCACTTAAATTGATTGTAGCTTTTTGCAATTACGGAGACTATTTTAGCCGGAACACCAATATTTTTCAACTCTGCCCACATGCAATTACGATTTAACGAATCAAACGTCTTTTCAAAATCGATTAAAAGCAGATAAAGGAGAGATCGCATCTCTATCGATTGTTCTATAATTATTCTAAGACTGTTAATATGGTCAACACATGATCTTCCGCTTCTGAAACCCGCTAGCTCTGGTCGTAGTAGTACTTCAGAGTAGTTACAGTCACTTATGTCTCCTTTTTTGGGTAGTTTGAATACAGTGCCATGAAATCAGTCGGATGAGTAAGTTTCTGTTTCCCAAACGTTTTTGAAGAGTGGGTGTAAGATATCCGTTGCCAGTTGCAAATCAACTTTTAGCGCTTCGGCCGGAATATTGTTAAAATTTGCAGCTTTTCTGTTTTTCAACAATTTTATTGCATTGGTTATTTCACTTTTTGAAGGAGGATCAACCCTAATCGGTAAATCATTTATGTTGTCATTTTGCGTTATCACGACACCTTCGCGTTATAGGTTCAATATTTGAATAAAATGTTAACACCATCGGTTTAGCTAATCATTTACGTTTGTCAATAGCTCATCAGAGAGATTCTTGACAGAGAGGTTTCTTTTGACGCTCTCGTCTGTTAGTTTCTTTGTTATACCAAAGAGACTCTTCATATTATTTGATGCCGCTGCATTTTCCGCTTCATTTACCATATTGTTAGAGAATTTTTTTTGTTATCGTCCCGAATTTCCTTTTGACATGTTTGTTCAGGTGTAACTATTCCATTTATGCTCTCTTTCGATCATTAGGCTTCTTCATGGCATTTATCTCATTTTTTAATTTTGCTCGTTGTTCTATCATTATCCAGGTTTGTGCTGAGATGAAGTCGTCTTCGGTATTATTTGACGCTCTACCTGAAGTTTTCATGCAGGTTTCATTAATAGCCATTTTTATTTTGTTCCAGCAATGTTGAGGATTTAGGTTCTCAGTAGGAGCAGGTGCTTTCAATTTAGAGATCTTGTATTTGATTCTGGTGAAGCTACTGGACTTCTGAATTCTTATTGGGTTTACTAGTTATTGCCAACTAGTAGGTGGTGATCAGAGTTGATATCGGCACCTCGTTTATTTCTTACATAGAATAGTTAGTATGCAATATTAAAACATAATAATTTTTTTATAAAATATTATACTATACTACAGAAAACTTATATAAATGATAAGTCTTCAACGCGATACAAAAAATTGTCCATTGAAATGAAAATGGAGATTTCTCATATGTCAAGTACCCATATGAAATATTCTAATGCTTACACACTCAGAGAGGAATTTATAAAACTATTCATAGAAACTATAATACAATATTTGTTTCCAACTTTACGGTGGGTATTGGGTTAAGATATACCTATAAACTTGACGGATAGTATTACGACCGGTATTATTTTCTTTTAAGGGAAATGTAATAAGGCTCGGCATATGTAATTATATTAGAATGGCTTAAGTAAGAAAATAATATATATTCACATATATCATGTAGGTGTTTGAAATTATATATACTAATGAAAAGTAAAAGTACTCACTTTTTGGGCTTTCCATTGCTGTTAAGCGCTATTTTTCAGTGTATTTTAAAATATTCAGATTAGTTTCACAATGGCATGTCTTCTCAACTTACCTGAAATGATCTTTTATTTATTGGAAAATATATTATATACTCATTATCAAGTACTTTAAGCTTTTTCTAAATATAATTTTAGGTAAAAAATAAATTAAGCAGATTCATTCAATTAATAAAAATTTTTTACCTTTCACTTCTATAGAAAATAATATAGCCGACGCTGTCAACTATTTATTGCAGTCAGAACTTTTCTCTACATCAAATAATTATGAAATATTGAACAAAAACAGTGTTGCATAACGCAAGAAAAATTATTTAACTTTTAACTTAACTGTAATTTACTGAATATTGAATACAGATTGTCAACGCAATATATAATATATACAAACCTTGCGTTATAAGAATCATGGCTGAAAAACTAGTAAGTTGAGAATGAGAGAAAGAGAAAAGTTTCGATTTGAATGTAGTCAAAGTGATAAGACATTATGTGTCTCATCACGTTGGCCAAAACAGTGAATAATATATAATAATAATAATAATTATATGTGAAAGTTTGGGCCTATTGGGAGAAAACATATACAATTTTGTATAGATATGCCCAACTTATCCCGGTTAAGAAGCGTAGAATTTGTATGTACGAATACTTTTCATGAATTTTTAAAGAAGATTTAACAACATTTAAGGAAAAAAAATTGTCAATTTGTATCAATTAAATACTAACCCAGTTGTATTTCAAAGGTCTGTAGCTATGAAAAATAGTGCAACCTTTTGAAGTCAAGAAAGGCATGAATCAAATAGATAAATTTATTTTAACCTTGATTGGGAACTATTGTTGGTTGAAGATGATGACATTCTTCTATAATACAGATTTGTAGATTCATAAAATTTTTTCAAGAAATACGAATGCACTTCCAATTCTTGGAACCAAATTAGTACTGATACGTCGATGATATGCTCCATCTTGAAGATTTATTTTCTGGCGTTTAACACCAGAAAATAGACCCAATATTAAAAATAAGAAAAAATCAAAAAATAATTCATTTGCATTCTAATGTGAATATTTTACAGCTAGCAACAATAATAGGCCTTTTCTTTTGTAAGCATATCACAAAAGAACAACTGCTTATTTTAAAAATAACATATGAAACAACAACACTGCTGGCTTGTTTAGTCCGACCTTTTTGAAATCGCTTAACCTATAAGCAGCTCAAATCTCATGGTTGCCAAGACTAAAATTTCGTCAATTGTGAGTGACTTTTGGAAGTACATACGAAATTTCCAGTTAACTGTCAACGAATGATTTCGTTAATTCTTCGTATTTCCTGTCGTCATTGTTCGTAACAAATACATTATTTTTTCTATTTATTATTTTACTATTAAAAGGCATGAAAAAACAAAAAAAAAAAAAAATTGTACTCAACCTACATTGCAAATGCTTACTGTTTATCAACACTATTTTAAAGTGTAATATACATAACATTCAACGTGAAAAGGAATATTATCTATCTGGTTGAGTAATTTATTAACTACAAATAATATTATGGCAACCTACAATTTTTATTGCAATCCATTACAAACCATTAAATTTAAGTCCAGTTCTAGTTTTATGTGCTGAATCGTGTACTGATTCAACTAATGTATCCAAATGTTGTCATTAGAACATTTGGTCAGTGTTTGAGATCTCATCCTTTATTTCTTATCGCTTCAACGTTTTTTTCAGAACGAAACCCTCTTTATAATGCCATGACCCTCAGCACCAAAGCACACAGGCAATCAGTTTTGGACAAATAGACTTTAGCAGTGGATGAAACTACAAAGTGGTGATTCCGAGTAAAAGATAAAAAAATTATAAAAAAATTTTAACAATAATCACAAATCACAAACATTTGATATTTTTTTGATCAAAAAATCACTACCACACATATTAGAAGAGATATTCGCAAATAAAAAGTCGCTTTCAAGTGGCTGTAAATGTCACGTATGCTTATAAATTGAATTGAGGATTGTTATCATTGGTTCATCAGATGTACATCAACTATGAATATCAACTAAGAACATCACAGCAATACATCCTTGTACACCGCAATAGCAATGTCGCTTGGTTAAGTGATCATTATAATTTCAACCAGATCCAGACTTTTTGTTTTTCCAGATTGATGTGTTATCGCACATGAACTGAATCACTTCAGATGTCTCTTGTTTATACACTGAAATCATAGCTCTGGACACACTTTTACAGAACTCCGTCAATGAATGATACTCAAAATTAATCTATATACTTAAATAAGAATTTATACAATTTTTTGCTGCTGTTTTTTTTAGTTTTTTTTTTTTTGTTAAATATTTTTCCAATAACTACTATTTGCGGTCATTAATGAAAAATATAATTCTTTCTTCCAGTAACCTCAGTTTTTCTTTAATCATTTTGCTGTCTACATCACTATCATCAGTAATGGCTTTAGTAAGACACTCCGGTCAACGTAAATGCAGGACTTGCTGTTTTTTTTTTTTTCGAAAAATTTGTTCCAGGTATACAAAAGATATTTATGCTTCCAGTAATAGGGAGATTCGTGACGTATTGTGATCTATTCTGATTTGGAATAATTTTCGTTTTGTAAAAATAAATATTTCCAATGAAGTATTGTTTTTAAAGGTATTTAAAAAAATTAATTTGTAAGACGTCCTATACGTCACTCATACGCACCATAATACCATTAAATCAATTTTACACAAAAAATGATACAAAACTTTTTACTTTTTATTTCTCAATTGAATTTACCATTAAATTCCACATAAAAATGAAACTTCTTAGAACGGATTGGTTCTCAGAAGTATTTCTATAAATTGCGTCATCTCTAGTTTTGCGTCATCTCTAATCTTCATCTTAATTTCTTCCTTGCTTTAAAATATATTTTATTTCAATTTTATATCGTACAGATTTATTAATAGGTATATGGAAGAAACTGTATAATTTCGGCTGTGTTATTTAAAGCAATACTGTTTTATCCACCATTAGAAAACTGCAAACTTATCATAGTATTGCTGAGACGTGTGCTATAAAAATAAAGATATATAAAAAGATTTGAAAGTTGAGAGTTTGCAAAAGTATATAAAATTCTGATATTCTTGACTTCGAATAGTTGCAATATTTTTTCTCTCTTCAGAGCTTTGAAATACAACTGGGTTTGTATTTAATTGTTAACAAATTGACAATTTTTTTCCATAAATGTTGTTAAATCTTCTTTAAAAATTCATGAAAAGTATTCGTACATACAAATTCTACGCTCCTTAATCGGGATGGGTTAGGCATATCCATACAAAATCGTATATATTTTCTCCCAATAGGCCCAAACAAGACACACAATCTCATCACTTTGACAACATTTAAATTAATCAAATTATAGTTACGTTTAAAGTCAAATAATTTTTCTTTCGTTTGTCAACACTGTTTTTTTTTGTAATAACTATTTCATAATTATTTGACGAGAAGAAAACTTCCGACTGCAATAAATAGTTGAGTACAACGTCAGTTATTTTAATTTCTATAGAAGTGAAAGGTAAAAAATTTGTATTAATTGAATGAATCTGCTTAAGTGTAAGGCTTAATTTATTTCTTTTTTCCAATAAATTAAAGATAATTTCAGATAAGTTGAGAAGACATGCCATTGTGAAACTAATTTGAATCTTTTAAAATACACTGAAATATAGCGCTTAACAGCAATGGAAAACCCAAAAAGTGAGTACTTTTATTTTTCATTAGTATATATAATTTCAAACACCTACATGATATATGGGAATATATAGTCATTTCTAATATAAGCCATTAAAATATAAGTACATGTACCGAACATTATTACAATGCGTGTTAATATTCTAACGTGACAATGTACTATGTTTAATATATTTTCGTATTATATTCACTTAACAACTGTTTCTCTTAATAGAAAATAATGCCGATCGTAATACTATCCGTCAACAACCAACAGAAGAAGTAATTACTTGCATGACATCCATGGAAAGCAGCGAAAATGAGCAGCTAACATCTCAAAATACTAGCGTTGAACCAGGACACAATGAAGTATTCGAAAATATTGATGCAGAGTCTACTGAGGAATTAAATGGTTTGCATATTTGACAGAATTATAAGTTTATATATCTTAACCCAATACCCACCGTAAAGTCGGAAACAAATATTGAATCATAGTTTCTATGAATAGTTTTATAAATTCCTCTCTGAGCGTGTATGCATTAGGATATTTCATATGGGTATTTGACATATGGGAAAGTTTTATTCTCATTTCAGTGGCAATTTATTTGTATCGCGTTAAAGACTTATCATTTATATAAGTTGTCAGTAGTAGAGTATAAAAAATTATTAAGTTTTAATATTGCATACTAGCTATAGATTACGTACCTTGAATATCCAGCACTAGTGGATTATGTTATGGTACTACATATTCCGCTTTTAATGTTCTTGCACATTAGGTTATGTTATACCGACGATCTCTGGTGGATTCACTTAGGCCTATTGGCCCATTGTGTTACCTTATATGAAGCCTGGAATGTTATTTTGTGTTAAGTCTTGTAATTGATCAAGTTCTTCAAGAAAGTGTTGAGTCGCTGGTGTGCATGAGCTGGGCAAAAACATAATAGATGAGAGGCACTCTCATCGTCTTCCCCACAGCTGCGACAGGCTTGATTGAAAGGGAGACCTAATTTTCTGGCATGGTTTCTAGTTTACATTGACCCGTAAGTATACCTACCAAGATCGATATTTCTACGGGGTATCTCAATGAGAATTTTGGATTTCCTTTTATCGAAACGTGATTCAAAACAGATTGCATACAGATGCCTATATATCGGTGAGTTTTCCCATCTTTTATTAAAAATCCAGCACAGGAAGAACTCAGTAACAGTTCGCATTCTTGCGTATTAATATTGTTCATTATTATTATTGCTTATTTATTGTTTATTTATTTATAGTATTTGTTCAAAACGTTTAAGACGATACTGCAAGTATTTAACGAAATGGCTTTTTGCATTTTTATACGAGAAGCTCAAGTCTTTATTGATCATTATTATTATATTATTTTCGTACGCGTTCACTTAGACTATTATATGTTAAATTATTATCCGAGCAAGCTATGAATTAGTTATGATCCAATAATGCTTTTGTGAGCTCAAATCAATTTAATATTAAAATTAGGAACACAACCCACATAGTTTAAATTTTTGGGAACAATCGAATAGATATAATGTAAGTCACATTAACCAAAAAAAAAGGTTTTTTAAGAACTAAATCAGTTTTTATAAAATTAATTTGCAGATGTCGATGAAGTATTACTGTAATATCATCTATGTCTCTTCTTTTCTCTGTTTTATAAAAGAGAGAAAAACGGTTTTATTGGTTCACCATCTCTTGCGGCGGAACAGGATAATATTTGTAAAGGATGGAGGATCATTTTGTAATGTGAATTGTTCGAAGTTTACTTTTGTGACATAGTTATGTTAACATAGTCAACATTTTTTACCAAATTCGATGATGTTTAGGGGTACCTAAACACTTCATATCGTATTCTTTATAGTCTATTTCCTATAACATTTCTTACCTGTTCAGAGTATTTTTCCAACTAAAGAATAACACTTCACCAAAGAGGTAGGTGTAATTATGTGCTGCAGTTATGTGGGTAGTTCAGCTAGTGTGGAACTTATTAGTTTTTTGATTCATCAATCTAAGAAAAAAGTTCATAAAACGTTTTAATTATTTTAAAATTCGTAACTTAAAAATAGAGATGATGCGGAACTAATTTAAAGTGTTAATATTTTATATAAAAATTTAATGATAAACTCAATTTAGAAATAAAAAATAAACGTTTTTGTGTTCATTTTGTTGGAAAATTGATTTAATGGTATTATGGGGCGTATGAGTAACGTGAGGGACGCCTGATAGATTAATTTTATTAAATTACTTCTAAAAGCAAAATCACACTGAAAATATAAATTAATTTATTAAAGGATAAATCAATTTATTAAAATACTTATAAGGACAGTATCGTCCTGAAATTTTTGAGTTTTATGTAGAATTTTATTACTAATCGAAATTAAAAATATTATATAAGAATATTTGTAGTATATTCTTCGAAAATTTAATCAATAGAAATATGTATAGTACGCATGGGCTTGATATGTTTTGCGGGGGAAAAAAAAATTTTTAAGATTTTAAAAAATAATGCCATCCTGAAAACTTTTATTTCGCAGTAAAATTTAAAACTGAATTTAAATAAAATATAAAAATTCTGGGGAGGTGTTTAGAAATAAATTTTTTTTTGAAATTTAATGGTTAATAATAGTAAATAAATATAAACATTTTTAATTGTGTAAACAATTTCTTAAAAGTTCAATCAATTATCTTTAAAACGCAGCAATATTCAAGTTCCTACCATTTACAGAGCTTGAGATATGGCCATTTGAAAATGTGTCTGCAGTGCCAATACTCAAAATCCCATCGGACCATATCTCCTAGGTCTTCTTATTTTATGAACGGAGCTCATAAAAAAATTTCAGCCAAATCTGAAATGATGAGGACCAAATCCGTCCGGTTTGTGAAAGAATGACACATATGGCATAATGAAACCTTATAAATTATGTCCAATTTTAAACATTAATAAATTTTATTAAATATTATATTTCATTAAGCAATTTTATTCTGTTTAGACTATTTTTTATCAAAATTATACTGATATTTATATCAGTATCTATTTTGTTTTCACAGTAATTTACAAATTCATTAGAACACATCTGTCTTTAACAGCTGTCGTTAATAAATCAACACAATGAGGTGTGTTCACGAGTTAGCGTAACTGGTTGCACTTTTACTCGGTTGCCGAGCTTGTTACTCGAACTCGTGAATAACCCTAATGTTATTCTACGCACGAGGATGAATTTAGTGCAAACACTATTGATTGAACATTTCATTTGAGAGGACCACGATATACTTCACTCATTTGAAAACACTTTCTATGTGAGTTAAAGAACGATGATTGGTGTACGAACTCACGTTGCTTATTTTAAGACAATTGGAAACCATCATATTCTATTATATGTATTCTATCACTGTAACTATATATCATAACACAGTTATTTTCAATGTATTCTCTGGTTATCTCAACTAGTAACTATGTTTTTCGTAGAACTTGGGGTCTATACTGACACAACTACGCATGGGCTTGCATTACAAGATTTGTTCAACTATATGGTGATGACAGAACCTTACGAAAATAACCCGTTACCATTTTTGGAAGCGGCAGTTGAATCAGGAAATAGCGAAGGGAATCAAAATAATGCTTCAGAGTTAGCTGAGGAATTATATTTGGGAATTGTCGATGACGACGATAATAATGAGATTTGGGACAATAATTATTCAACGTTGCCAGATGAAGTTCTTGGTAAGCACTTTCTTTGTTGCCTAAGCTCTTATATACTTATTAAATTTAATTAAATTAAATAAAATTAAATTAAATTAAATTAAATTTTTCATTCTAATAGAGTAAAATAAATATCTCTATATGCACTATGAGTACTTTATATCGCAGTTCAGGTTTAACACACACATTTAAAGGATTTTTATTTCAAAAAATACTCTTTTAAATATTAATGTAATTCTGAGCAATTCAGTATATTATGCACCATATGTTAGTACAATTCTATTTCATGATTTTAATGTTGCTAACGAACAACTATATTATATTTATAGAATACACAGTTTGTCGTGATAATACTACGAACGAACAAAAAGTAATTACTCAAAGGAAAACAACAGAATCATGCGGATATAAATTAACACCAAATATGTATAAGGGCATTGAATCCGATACCGATATAGATACCGAAACCGATACCGATACCGATATCGACACAGAGTCTGAGAGGGACTCTTCGGAGACAGAGTCTACAGACAATCCAAATGGTAAGAAAGAGAATATTACAAAATTTGCAATATGTACCTATGTAATCTCAAACACCTCAGTACACACCTATTGTAATATCTTCTTATTATTATTATTATTAATTAAAATAATTATTTGTTATTTTGATATATATTTAATATTTTATTTAAGTCATAATCAAACGTTGTTGCTCAGGCAACATCTCAAATACTTCTGTACTCTAAGAGCGGCGCAGCATACACAAGCAGCTCAAAGTGCTTTGTCTCATAATTGCAAGATCAGCAATTAATGCTGTTGCGAATATGGTGTGACTTAAGAATAAGTGAATAATACTTTTCTCAAGTAGACCACGCATGAAATGAGTAACGGATGTTATTGTTTATATTGTTATGTATGCTACACTATATACTGTATACAGCAGTTTCCATCACGTATAGTGAAACTATTACTTGACAGACCTGAAGACTTTTCAGCTTGAAAAAAGAAATAATAGATATGACTTGGTAGTACGGTAAAAGAATTTAAAGTTGCAATCCTATTACTGAGCCAACTGACTTGGTTATATATATTTCTTATAATAAAACTCTCTGAAATATCCGAAAGGAATTGTGGTATTTACACATACGAAGAATACGATCGAAAAAAGTGAAATACTCCAGATCAACTGCAGTTGAAAAGACTTTAAATTGAGGTATTTAATAACTTACCCTGAAATCAATCGCTCTCAAAATAAACTGCTTTGAATTTAATTGTAATAAAACTAAATGTAATCTTGAAGACATCTGTTTTTCCATTCTTGCCTGTTCCTTGATGTCCTAACTTGGTCCGTTTTAAAATAAATGTTGACGTCTCTTCTTATTTCACTGTTCTTCTACTTACGAGGACGTAATTAGACAAACATTCTTAACTGAACAGGTCTAACGAATAAGATCTTAACGTTAAAAAGATTCTTCAAAGAGCTTTCGTAGATTTAAGGTATACGACAAGAAAATCTAGAACGTAACGATACAACTAAATTCTTCGACATCTATATTACTTAACAATATAATAGGGCTTCCAATTTAAAAGAGAAAACTTGTATTTGGATTGGTGGTTAGAAGAAAGTAAGTCAAAGGGAGCGATCTTAAGTACAGTCATAAGTTACGGACAATCTGTTTAACTTAAGGCATTAAATGACACTATCATATTTTATGTACTACATTTTATATTATAACAAAGCTTTGTTCAATGTATTCTCAGACTACATCAGTGACGAACTCTTGTACGCATATGCGCAATCAATACAAGATTTACTCAACCAAACGCCGGAAACAAAACCAAATGATGAAAGAAAGTTATCATCTCTGGAAACAGGCGTTGATTCAGTAAATAACGAAGTGAAGCAAAATAATCCTTCGGAGTTAGCTGAGCAATTACATGCGGGAAATGCCGGTGACTGCGATAATAATAAGACAAGTGACAATAATTATTCAACCTTGTCAGATAAACTTCTTGGTAAGTACTGCTTTTTTTCTTAAGTTTTTGTTTTCTTACTTTTTCTTGAAAAAAGTTTAATTAGTAATATAATAGACATTTTAAAATGTTAACTAACTTTACACTTTGATTCCAATGAAGTAATTCCAATAAACTTCTCTCTATCCACGACAAATTATGTATACCATATATAACGTAGTTCACGTTTAACACACGCTAGTTTGCAGAAGAAAAAAAAGCTCGCCATGAGACGATAATTACGATTGAGAATGAAAACAGACAGACTCGTGTTTTTTTTCGGAAAGTACAAAGAGATGGGTGGAAAACACCAAAAGCCTGAGACCTTAACGCACTGAAACTACTTTTTAGGAATGAATTGTAAAGATTTCAGCTATTGTCCGTGAAGGTCATTGTGCTAAAAATCTTATTCGAGTAGTCAGGGATGACTTTGAGTATTGGAGGAGTTTAAGAGATGGATGGTAAAAAGAGATGGGTGGAAAACACCAAAAGTCTGAGACCTTAACGCACTAAAACTACTTTTTGGGAATGAATTGTAAAGATTTCAGCTATTGTCCGTGAAGGTCATTGTGCTAAAAATCTTATTCGAATAGTCAGGGATGACTTTGAGTATTGGAGGAGTTTAATGCAGCAACTCAGTTGGAGATAAATCATTAAACTGGAGCTGACTCTGATGAGCTCGTGAAATAGCTGACTCTGGCCTGAAAAATGCAATTTTGATATTGATTCAACAAATAACTACTAACAATAGGTAGACGCATTTACTAAAATTAGTTAAAAATTTTGTCTACAAATTAAAGTAAAACATTAAAGAAATCACCTTCCACAGCTAGTGCCCAAAACAAGGCAACTACATTCTTTCACGAGTAGAGTGAGTAAGATTTACACCGCCGCTAAAAACACATAGTAGCACCAGAAATATCAGTTGAAGTTAGTATAGATAATTTTAAAAGAAAAATTTTTCTTCTGCATCATAAATTGATTATTTTTTTTATCTGTTAATGAATCAATCAACCCAAATAATTGTTCAAGTCTGTAATTCATCAACATATGTCTTTCAAATCATGACATTGAGAATTTTCATCTAATATATTGTATCTGTATGTAGACGCATCTTTTAAAATCTTCATTTCTCAGTATAAGCTAGATTTTATTACTTTGTGATCTGAGTTGCAGAGTCAACACTTGTGACTTTATTCATCTATTAGATGCACATAATACGTAGGGAGCTCGACTTATAGGTATAGCTACTAACATAATATTTACACTTCCCTAACTTTAATGTTATAGTTATGAGTATTATATTTATCAGCTAATGGGTTGTAAATGAGTTTACTCTCTCTCTAGTCATTTCTCTAGTAATACTATTTCGTGTTGATTCGAGATATCTACGACGTGGTGTGTTTCATATTCCCCACTTTTCAGCGTGCACTATGGCTTGTGTATGTGATGCAGAGTGGGGTATGGGTTGTTCTATGCAGTATAAAGTATTTGCTATATACTATTTTTATCAAAATAGTACTTTTATATATAAAAATTTTTACATACGTATTGTAAGCGGAACCGTTCTCCACCCATAGGCAACATCATGCATGATTCATGTATGTTGTAGCCTGAAATATTATTGTTTAGTTATTAATAGGATAGCCCATTGGGAGTGGTGAAGTATATTAGTATGTAGGAGTGGCTTCAGTAAAACTACACCACTGGTAATAAGTGCCAATTCTTGAAGTCTACTTATTTTTTATTTTTACTTTTATTTTTTATTTTAATAATATTTTATTTATTGTTATTGTTATTATTATTTTATTTTTATTATTGTTATCATTATTATTATATTTTTTATTATAATATGTAATATGTTTTTGATTTTATTTTATTATTAGTACAATAATGACAAACTTACGTTACTTAACATACGAGACGATATTACATTTGAGGAGTTTTTCATTCACTCTGATGAACCTGGGTAGTTCCTAGGCGAAACGCGTTAGTGGAAACTAATAGAGAAGTGAACGAATGGCGTTCGAATATCTCTTAATATTTTAGCCTCTCGCAGAAAAACACGGACCAACCGAGAGTTGTCAGTATATGTAATGTTTCATATTTTTCACTCATATAATTTTAAATTTCATGTATATTATTTTCTATTTTTTAGTCATATTAGTATTCATCTATAGTTATATTAATGCCCCTTTGGTTTTATTAGTATTTATCTTTATATTTTCATTTTTGTAATAGTTTGAATTTTATTATATCTGTTTATGATTGTACTATTTTATTATTATTTAATAATACTTTGTTATATTATTATAATCCTTAAGTTACTATGTTATTTATTTATATAGTTAGTTTTTATAATTCTCGGTTTATTTCTGTATTTTGGCATTTATTTATTTATATATTCAGTTCTTTTATTTACGATTATTAAATTGTAACATATTTACAGCAGTTTTAACATTTGACTTATTTTATATTTTAATAATGTATAACATAAGAACTACAGATTATTTAAGACAATAACTATTAAGTTTAAACGCGATTCGAACATAATGCAAAAATATATCATAATAAACAATATAATGCTATAAAGACAAAAAAAAAATTCAGCCAATTCAGAAAAACAATAAAAGGATATGAGTATAAAATAAATAATATAATTAAGTGATTACAGTATATATTCATTTAATGATATAATTATATAATAATAATGAAATTAAAATGTTTGAATTATGATAACTCATGTGACCGAAAAACTCCTAAGAAACTAAAAATACTTTGTAGCAGAAACATATACATATTAGTTTTTAGAAACCCAAACTCTAAGTGTAGTTCACTGTACATCTAATCATAATCAATCTGAAAACGTCAGAATTACTCGGCACAATCCATCAGTACATCACGTCTGTATTGCAAACTTTCCCTTAAAAAGGCTACTAGTTTACGCCAGTCTGCACCGTTTAGTGAATCATAGCATTCAGATGGAGTTAATATGGTTTTGCCCCAGTGGAACCATCTAATTTCACACAGGATAGGGCAGCGCCCCATGAGATGAATGATGTCTTCTTTTTCATACATATTACAAAGGGTGCAGTCAGTATTAGTTGTTTGTACGTATGGAACATAGTTCAGCCTTATCAGTTCTGTCCTTGCCTTGAATATTAATGATATTGTCGCGGCGTCAAACTTGTCATTGAAATAATTTCGATTGTTTAGATTATACTCCAACAGCTTATATGTATTTCTTGTACTGCTTACACGTGCTTGTCTTTCAAATTGGGTTCTCGAGCTGAGGTCAATATTTTGGAGTATTTGTGTTTGCCATTGGCGCCACAAAACTGTTTCATTGGATAAGGGGAGCTGCTGTATTCTTCAGCAAGTGCATCCCATTGAGCACAGAACTGCGATCTGGATTGAAGTAAGTATTTTACGACGATTTTTGGCAGCCGGTGATCTTGCATTTTCATTACTTTATTGATATAATCAAAATGCAGTTGTAATGTGAATGTATATAATATTGGCAGCCCAATATATAATAATTCAGCTTCATCGGAATGTTGATAGCCCCATCGGAATGTTGATAGCCCCATCGGTATGTTGATAACCCCACACTTGTGCTGCGTAACACATAATCGATCTGACGGTTGCTACGAACATTTTATATTTCGTGCTATGACACACATTTCTTCTACTAAAAAGTTGATTCCAGGTATTATTTAGTGCCACTTTTAAGTCGGAAAGTTTTTGTCGAGTGTTATTTGCAAAATTCATGTTCGACGTCTTAATACTCCTAAACATTTGAATACGTTTACTACTTCTAGATCTACCCCATTTAAGTTCCAACTATCGGTCCTTGCTTTTCTACCTCTGTTGTCTTTCACAATCATTACTTTTGATTTATCGCAGTTAATTTGTAGGCTCCATGTTTGACAATACTGTTGCAGTGCGTTTATCATCTTCTGGAGTGTTTGGGCATCTTCTGCAAGTAATACCATGTCGTCCGCATACAATAATACTTTAAAACATTGTGAACCTAAACAAACTCCACCAGGCAAAATACACGATGTGTCATCTACATACAGCGCAAAAAGTAGTGGACTTAGAAGACAACCTTGTTTGACACCACGATTTGACTCAAACCAGTCCAATAGATATTACTATCCTAAACCGCAGTTGCGTTTTTGATATATAAACTTTGAATTTCATTTAACATTTTCGTTGAGATGCCAATATTACTTAGTTTCAGAAAGAGGCTACGCCTATCGATGGTGTCAAAAGCCGCCTTGAAATCTACTAAAAACAATTGAGGTCAGCACAAAAATATTGTCTACGGTCGAGTATGATTTCCTAAAACTTGCCTGATAATCGCTCAGTAGGTGATATGTTTCCACCCAGTTGGTTATTCGGGTAAGAAGAATAGAGGTGAATATTTTTGTGATCACATTAAAAAAAGAGATACCTCTGTAATTAAATCGGTCGCCGACATCGCCTTTTTTAAAAATGGGAAATATAATGTTTTTTTTGAAACTATTAGGAACGTTCTCTGATTCAAAGATACTATTATAGGCAGTTGTCAAATAATTTACGAATTTCGTTGACGAATTTTTTAGAAATTCTGCCGGTACTCTGTCCACACCTGGTGCTTTCCTGTCTTTACTTCGCTTTATCGCGGCCGTTACTTCTATTGTGCTTATTTCATGATCCAGTTCTTGTACTGTCGAGTAGGGCAACGCGAAATTATGTTGTACTGCCGACATTTCTTCATATAGTAATCCTTTGTAATAGCTAGCCAGTATACTAATATCCACCTTAATAGGTTTGTGTGATTTGGATCCATTTAGCGTTCTGACTAGAGCCCAAAAGTCTTTACTGTCCGTTACTTAATTTATAACTACCTCTAGTTGCATAAAGTATTCCTGGTGTTTCCGTTTACATATCTCTTTGAAAGCTTTATTTGCTGCATGATAATTTATTTTGGAGACATTTGATGATGTTTTCCTCATCAGCGTTAGAAATTTCATCGATTTTTTACGTGCTTCCCCACATTCACTATCAAACCATGGTTGGCGACGTATTGTGCTGGTAGGTTTCTGCATAAAATCAGCTGCTTTGGTAACGCACAGCAGCAGATCATCACTTTGTATTTGCTCAACAGCGCTTGCATATTGATCAGTGATCCTGTACAGCTACTCCCTGTATCTTGTCGCGTATTGGTCGCTCCATCGTAGCTTGGGTAAAAGTTGCATTTCCTCCACATATTGAACATTTTGCATGTTGATGTTGATGCATAGAGGCATGTGATCGGAGAAGGATTCATTTTGAACAAGGAAATCACTTACATAGTGGTGCCATTTGCCAGTTATTAAGCAGTAATCGATGGTTGATGCAGCCTGAGCTTTATAATAAGTGTAGCTGCCTTCTGTGTCGCTTCGTGTTCTACCATTCAGTACCGTTAAATCAAAAGACTCACATAGCTCAATGAGTTTTTTGCCGTTTGAATCTAATGTTTTGTCATTTGCACTTCGAGAAGTATTTGCATATCCAGCAGCTGTATATATACTTTCCGTTCATTATAGTTGGTACATATATTTTTTACCTTGGTACCGTATAGTAATTGTAAAGCAGCACCCGCATCATCATATATTTAACTATATTTATGTATTTATTTGTACATTAATGTTACCATTTAATAAGTATTTAGTCATCTCTTTATTATCATTTATTTATCATTTGGTTGTGCCTTTATTACCATTTTAATATTACAATGGTAATATTTTTATTATCACCAAATTGTCTTAGTTATATCCTTATTGATACATATTCATATGCTTATATACTTCAATATATATATACTACATATACTACAATGTATTCATATATCATATATCAAAACTTTTCGGTTTATGGTTGGGAGTAAAGTAGGATTTCACATAAATTATAGTCTGTAGGCCATGGTATGTAACTTTTTACTGGTGTATCTCCAGTGGCTAGCTTTCATGGTTTATAACCATGAAAATATATCGAGCCATGACAGTGACGAAGCTCTAGTCAGTATATAACTAGAGGTTTGGACACATAAATAATGTAATATTATACAATATATCACGTCTAGTAAAACTCTCTTAAATATTATTACAATTCTGTGCAATTCAGTATATTATGCATAATAACACAATACTATTTAATGTATTTCATATTCTTTACGAAGAACTGTGTTTTTTTTTTATAGAAAACAATGTTTGTCGTGATAGTACTACTTATCAACAGAACGAACAAAAAGTAATTACTCAAATGAAAACAACAGAAACATGCGGAAATAAGTTATCACTAAATTCGAATACGGACATTGATACCGATACCGACACAGAGTCTGAGAGGGACTCTTCGGAGACAGAGTCTACAGACAATCCAAATGGTAAGAAAGAGAATATTACAAAATTTACAATATGTACCTATGTAATCTCAAACACCTCAGTATACTGTATACACTATATATACTATATATATACTGTATACAGCAGTTTCCAACACGTATAGTGAAACTCACCTAAGTATTCGAGAGCTAGGTAGAACTGGCACAGAAGAGCGGAAGGTGAAACTGAAGATCAGAGCACTTTGAATAGATCCACTTAATAACTTATCTTGGTGGTAGGGTAATTTATAAATACACAATTTAAAATTTTTTTGTTTTCTTTTAATATAATAAAAGTATAATGTATTTTGAGATTTCAATTTTCATTATCCTTTGTTCCAAATTTTATCTGGCTTACTGTAAGCAAAGACTGTCGTAATGAAATGATCATAAATTTTATATTTGATGGTCTGAATGAAATACACATTTTTGCATTTACATCGTCCAGTTACCAACAATCTGTTACATTTGGTCTAATTTAAAGAATTTTAAACTCGCACTGTTTTAGAAGGGTTTTAAAATACACAAATCATTTTATTGGAACATTTTAACTTAGCCATTAAAGCAGCTGGTTCGGTGTAAAGGAAAAATCCCTAGCGGATATGTTTTTAATATTTTAAATGAATGTACCTCTGCTCTCAAAAGTTTCATCACTGAATGGTGTACGTACTTTGTTATTTCTTAGGTGAGCATATTACTTAACAGACCTGAAGACTTTTCAGCTTGAAAAAAGAAATAATAGATATGACTTGGTAGTACGGTAAAAGAATTTAAAGTTGCAATCCTATTACTGAGCCAACTGACTTGGTTATATATATTTCTTATAATAAAACTCTCTGAAATATCCGAAAGGAATTGTGGTATTTACACATACGAAGAATATGATCGAAAAAAGTGAAATACTCCAGATCAACTGCAGTTGAAAAGACTTTAAATTGAGGTATTTAATAACTTACCCTGAAATCAATCGCTCTCAAAATAAACTGCTTTGAATTTAATTGTAATAAAACTAAATGTAATCTTGAAGACATCTGTTTTTCCATTCTTGCCTGTTCCTTGATGTCCTAACTTGGTCCGTTTTAAAATAAATGTTGACGTCTCTTCTTATTTCACTGTTCTTCTACTTACGAGGACGTAATTAGTACAAACATTTTTAACTGAACAGGTCTGACGAATAAGATCTTCCCGTTAAAAAGATTCGTCAAAGAGCTTTCGTAGATTTAAGGTATACGACAAGAAAATCTAGAACGTAACGATACAACTAAATTCTTCGACATCTATATTACTTAACAATATAATAGGGCTTCCAATTTAAAAGAGAAAACTTGTATTTGGATTGGTGGTTAGAAGAAAGTAAGTCAAAGGGAGCGATCTTAAGTACAGTCATAAGTTACGGACAATCTGTTTAACTTAAGGCATTAAATGACACTATCATATTTTATGTACTACATTTTATATTATAACAAAGCTTTGTTCAATGTATTCTCAGACTACATCAGTGACGAACTCTTGTACGCATATGCGCAATCAATACAAGATTTACTCAACCAAACGCCGGAAACAAAACCAAATGATGAAAGAAAGTTATCATCTCTGGAAACAGGCGTTGATTCATTAAATAACGAAGTGAAGCAAAATAATCCTTCGGAATTAGCTGAGCAATTACATGCGGGAAATGCCGGTGACTGCGATAATAATAAGACAAGTGACAATAATTATTCAACGTTGTCAGATAAACTTCTTGGTAAGTACTGCTTTTTTTCTTAAGTTTTTGTTTTCTTACTTTTTCTTGAAAAAAGTTTAATTAGTAATATAATAGACATTTTAAAATGTTAACTAACTTTACACTTTGATTCCAATGAAGTAATTCCAATAAACTTCTCTCTATCCACGACAAATTATGTATACCATATATAACGTAGTTCACGTTTAACACACGCTAGTTTGCAGAAGAAAAAAAAGCTCGCCATGAGACGATAATTACGATTGAGAATGAAAACAGACAGACTCGTGTTTTTTTTCGGAAAGTACAAAGAGATGGGTGGAAAACACCAAAAGCCTGAGACCTTAACGCACTGAAACTACTTTTTAGGAATGAATTGTAAAGATTTCAGCTATTGTCCGTGAAGGTCATTGTGCTAAAAATCTTATTCGAGTAGTCAGGGATGACTTTGAGTATTGGAGGAGTTTAAGAGATGGATGGTAAAAAGAGATGGGTGGAAAACACCAAAAGTCTGAGACCTTAACGCACTAAAACTACTTTTTGGGAATGAATTGTAAAGATTTCAGCTATTGTCCGTGAAGGTCATTGTGCTAAAAATCTTATTCGAATAGTCAGGGATGACTTTGAGTATTGGAGGAGTTTAATGCAGCAACTCAGTTGGAGATAAATCATTAAACTGGAGCTGACTCTGATGAGCTCGTGAAATAGCTGACTCTGGCCTGAAAAATGCAATTTTGATATTGATTCAACAAATAACTACTAACAATAGGTAGACGCATTTACTAAAATTAGTTAAAAATTTTGTCTACAAATTAAAGTAAAACATTAAAGAAATCACCTTCCACAGCTAGTGCCCAAAACAAGGCACCTACATTCTTTCACGAGTAGAGTGAGTAAGATTTACACCGCCGCTAAAAACACATAGTAGCACCAGAAATATCAGTTGAAGTTAGTATAGATAATTTTAAAAGAAAAATTTTTCTTCTGCATCATAAATTGATTATTTTTTTTATCTGTTAATGAATCAATCAACCCAAATAATTGTTCAAGTCTGTAATTCATCAACATATGTCTTTCAAATCATGACATTGAGAATTTTCATCTAATATATTGTATCTGTATGTAGACGCATCTTTTAAAATCTTCATTTCTCAGTATAAGCTAGATTTTATTACTTTGTGATCTGAGTTGCAGAGTCAACACTTGTGACTTTATTCATCTATTAGATGCACATAATACGTAGGGAGCTCGACTTATAGGTATAGCTACTAACATAATATTTACACTTCCCTAACTTTAATGTTATAGTTATGATTATTATATTTATCAGCTAATGGGTTGTAAATGAGTTTACTCTCTCTCTAGTCATTTCTCTAGTAATACTATTTCGTGTTGATTCGAGATATCTACGACGTGGTGTGTTTCATATTCCCCACTTTTCAGCGTGCACTATGGCTTGTGTATGTGATGCAGAGTGGGGTATGGGTTGTTCTATGCAGTATAAAGTATTTGCTATATACTATTTTTATCAAAATAGTACTTTTATATATAAAAATTTTTACATACGTATTGTAAGCGGAACCGTTCTCCACCCATAGGCAACATCATGCATGATTCATGTATGTTGTAGCCTGAAATATTATTGTTTAGTTATTAATAGGATAGCCCATTGGGAGTGGTGAAGTATATTAGTATGTAGGAGTGGCTTCAGTAAAACTACACCACTGGTAATAAGTGCCAATTCTTGAAGTCTACTTATTTTTTATTTTTACTTTTATTTTTTATTTTAATAATATTTTATTTATTGTTATTGTTATTATTATTTTATTTTTATTATTGTTATCATTATTATTATATTTTTTATTATAATATGTAATATGTTTTTGATTTTATTTTATTATTAGTACAATAATGACAAACTTACGTTACTTAACATACGAGACGATATTACATTTGAGGAGTTTTTCATTCACTCTGATGAACCTGGGTAGTTCCTAGGCGAAACGCGTTAGTGGAAACTAATAGAGAAGTGAACGAATGGCGTTCGAATATCTCTTAATATTTTAGCCTCTCGCAGAAAAACACGGACCAACCGAGAGTTGTCAGTATATGTAATGTTTTATATTTTTCACTCATATAATTTTAAATTTCATGTATATTATTTTCTATTTTTTAGTCATATTAGTATTCATCTATAGTTATATTAATGCCCCTTTGGTTTTATTAGTATTTATCTTTATATTTTCATTTTTGTAATAATTTATATTTTATTATATCTGTTTATGATTGTACTATTTTATTATCATTCTATAATACTTTGTTATATTATTATAATCCTTAAGTTACTATGTTATTTATTTATATAGTTAGTTTTTATAAATCTCGGTTTATTTTTATATTTCGGCATTTATTTATTTATATATTTTAATATACTTAACTATAGATATGTATTTATTTGTACATTAATGTTACCATTTAATAAGTATTTAGTCATCTCTTTATTATCATTTATTTATCATTTGGTTGTGCCTTTATTACCATTTTAATATTACAATGGTAATATTTTTATTATCACCAAATTGTCTTAGTTATATCCTTATTGATACATATTCATATGCTTATATACTTCAATATATATATACTACATATACTACAATGTATTCATATATCATATATCAAAACTTTTCGGTTTATGGTTGGGAGTAAAGTAGGATATCACATAAATTATAGTCTGTAGGCTATAGTATGTAACTTTTTACTGGTGTATCTCCAGTAGCTAGCTTTCATGGTTTATAACCATGAAAATATATCGAGCCATGACAGTGACGAAGCTCTAGTCAGTATATAACTAGAGGTTCGGACACATAAATAATGTAATATTATACAATATATCACGTCTAGTAAAACTCTCTTAAATATTATTACAATTCTGTGCAATTCAGTATATTATGCATAATAACACAATACTATTTAATGTATTTCATATTCTTTACGAAGAACTGTGTTTTTTTTTTATAGAAAACAATGTTTGTCGTGATAGTACTACTTATCAACAGAACGAACAAAAAGTAATTACTCAAATGAAAACAACAGAAACATGCGGAAATAAGTTATCACTAAATTCGAATACGGACATTGAATCCGATACCGATACTGATAGCGATAGCGATACCGATAGCTATACCGACACCAACTCTGAAAGTTATTCATCGGAGACAGAGTCTTCAGACAATCCAAATGGTAAGAAAGAGAATATTACAAAATTTGCAATATGTACCTATGTAATCTCAAACACCTCAGTATACACCTATATACTGTATACAGCAGTTTCCATCACGTATAGTGAAACTATTATTTGACAGACCTGAAGACTTTCAGCTTGAAAATAGAAACAATAGATATGACTTGGTAGTACGGTAAAAGAATTTAAAGTTGCAATCCTATTACTGAGCCAACTAACTTGGTTATATATATTACTTATAATAAAACTCTCTGAAATATCCGAAAGGAATTGTGGTATTTACACATACGAAGAATACGATCGAAAAAAGTGAAATACTCCAGATCAACTGCAGTTGAAAAGACTTTAAATTGAGGTATTTAATAACTTACCCTGAAATCAATCGCTCTCAAAATAAACTGCTTTGAATTTAATTGTAATAAAACTAAATGTAATCTTGAAAACATCTGTTTTTCCATTCTTGCCTGTTCCTTGTAGCTAACTTGGTCCGTTTTAAAATAAATGTTGACGTCTCTTCTTATTTTACTGTTCTTCTACTTACGAGGACGTAATTAGTACAAACATTTTTAACTGAACAGGTCTGACGAATACGATCTTTCCGTTAAAAAGGTTCTTCAAAGAGCTTTCATAGATTTAAGGTATACGACAAGAAAATCTAGAACGTAACGATACAATTAAATTCTTCGACATCTATATTACTTAACAATATAATAGGGCTTCCAATTTAAAAGAGAAAACTTGTATTTGGATTGGTGGTTAAGAAAAAGTAAGTGAAAGGGAACGAACTTAATGACAGACCTAAGTTACAGGTAATCTGTTTAATTTAAGACATTTTAGGAATCTATCATATTTTATGTACTACGTTCTATATTAAAACAAATCAACTAAAAACAATGTTTTTCATAGAACAACATGATTATGCTGGTTTACCAGCATATGAGCAATCAATACAAGATATGATTACCCTAATGAAGATGACAAAACCAAATGATGAAAGTAAGTCACCATCATCTCTGGGAACAGGCATTGATTCAGGAAATAACGAAATGATTCAAAATAGTGCTCCGGAGTTAGCTGAGAAATTACATGTGGGAAATGCCGGTGAGTATGAGAAAACTGAGACAAGTGATAATAGGTATTTAACTTTGCCAGATCAATGTCTTGGTAAGTACTAATTTTGGTTTGGTTTTTATTTACTTCCACCAAAAATACCAATAATTGGTCTTTAGTTCTTTGTTTTTGAATAATTTATTTTATATTATAATATCTATTGTATATACAAATATTCAATCTATCATTTTAGGATAAATAAATTAGGATATGTTACTTCATAAATCCAAAAATCAGTTTTGAATTGCTTTTGTATACATATAATCCACAAGTAATCGTGACTTGATTTAATATGAAATATGTGGCATCTTTTTACTAAGATAGAATCTAAGTTGTTGAGGGAGAATTGTGAAATCAGAATTGTGAAATAGTATCAATTGCTGCAGTAGTAAGCGTGTTCTGGAATAACATTCCTGGATAAGCTAGCAGATATACAATTTAATAATTTCATATTAGAGCTTTGAATATTTATTTTTATATGTGTATATATTGTGTAATATACACATTGTTTGAGAGGAGCGTCTCAACTTAGTCATTGACTGAGTTGGTAAGGCGTTAAAAAAGACCCTAGCATGAATGATTTAAATATTTTAATCAAATCCACCCCTCATCTTAAAACATTCGTAACTAAATGGTGTATGTCCACTGTTAGTTCGTAGACGTCCATACTACTCAACAGACATAAATACTGTTCTGTTTGAAAAACGAAACCACAGATATGAACTGATAGTACCGTAAAGGAAACAAAAGTTGCCATCCCATTAATAGCCTAAAATAGTATATCATAGGTATCACAATTTTGTTTAATATATTTTATATATTTTAGTGAATGTAGTGTATTTTAACGAATAACTATATCTGTTTATAGAAAACAATCTTCGTCGTAAGAAAACTACTAATCAACGGAAAAAACAAAAAGCAGATACTGAACAGATAACAACAGAACCATTCGGAAGTAAGTTATCACCATTTTTGGACAGGCTTATTAAATCGGGACACATTAAGGAATTTGAAAGTGACTCTTCAGAGTCAGAATCTTCAGAGGCTCTTGATGGTAAGAAAGAGAACGTTGAGAACGTAATAATTTGTGTGTTATATAATATATTTCATTTTAACTTTTAAATTGAGTGGTATTGTTTTTGTGACGTAAATGTGTGATTCGATGTGTTACTCATCAATGTACACTTGCTTATTAAATACTACAACTGTCATTATTCTTTGTTCCATATTGCATTTAGCTTACTGTAATCATTGAATGCAACTAGTAAATATACTTAAGACTAACAAGCATTTTTAGTTTGATAAATTATAAATATTTATACTAACGTTTTATTACTTATTGAGGTCAAAGGGTATTATACGTTTTAATCTTGGTACTGAGTTAGTGCGTTGACTAATTGCAAAATATCTGCATTTTCATGTCACGTAATTTTCGAACCGTGAAGAACAGCATACGTTTTTATGACGTCCTTGAGAGGTTTTATTATTAGGTCACGATGTAGGTCTGTACCATGAATGTACCAGGGTGCATTTTTAAAATTTCTCAGGACTATGTTTTGGAAATGTTGTATTATCATAATATTACTCTTATTGATGTATTTCTATAACTGTATACCGTATGTCCATTCAAGCTTTAAGATTTCAATGTAAACCAGAAGTTTATTTTGCGTAAATAACACTGTTCAAATCCAGTTTTTTTGGATTTTAAAAACTTAATGAAATCTTATATTTCCTGAGCAGAAGCCAGAGGTATGGTTACTTCGCTGGCATTTTCTATTGTGAAAGCATTTCTAAGACATTCCGAAAAAATTTTTGTTTTCTGTTAATTGCTTTTTGTCCAAGCGAGTGTGTGAAATCTTTTTGCAGGAGAAATTAAAAATTGTCTAGAAATGTTTTGAAGGAGTCGTTTTAAGATGTTTTATCCTTTAAGTTAACCTTTTACAGACTCCTGAGCAGGGACTTATCCCCAGGAGATCTGGTCATTTGTCACTTCCGTTTAAGTTTGCGTTTTTCGGTAATAGAACTGCAAATATTTATACATAAATATACAAATATATAAATTTATTTAAAATGATTGAAATATACATTTTTGCATTCGGATTGTCCATTTACCTACGATTTGTTTCGTTTGTTCTAAATTTATTCTTGATTCTGAGAACATGATGTTCCAAAATATATCCTATGCTCCGATTAATTTAAGAAATTAGAATATGTCAATTACTTAACAAGTCGATCAGTCAGTTTAGAATTGGATTTATATACATATAATCCGAAAAATATTGTGACATGATTTAACTTGAAATATGTGGCATCTTTTAACTAACATGGGATAAAAGCTGCTATAAAGAAATTATGAAACCAGCGAAATTTATCACGCTTGATTCTCGCAGAATAGTATCAAATGCTAAAGTTATAATTGCATCTAGTTTTGTATTATGTATTATATATATTTTAGCATATATAATGAATTTTAACGAACGAATGTATTCTTATGTAGAAAGCAATGTTTGCTGTGATAATAATACTGATCAACAGAAGAAAGAAAAAGTAGATACTGAACAGATAACAACAGAACCATTCGGAAACAAGTCACCATATCTGGATACGGACATTAAATCAGAAAACATTAGAGAATATAAAATTGACTCTGTGAAGGATTTAGTTGATGTAGCTAATGAGAACTATATACATGATTCATGTGATAACAAATTTCAAAAGTCTCCACAGAAACACACTGGTAAGTACGAGTATATTAAATAACTTAAATATTGTGTTTAGTATTGCATATGGGTCATTCTTTTACAAACCGGACGGATTTTGGCAAAAAATGACCTCATGATCTCCGATTTGAGCTCCTTTCATAAAAGAAGAAGACCCATATCTCGGGAAAAAATTTTGTGCTTTTTTTTCTAGGAGATATGGACCCATGGGGTTAGTAGACACATGGTTAGCATAGTAGACACATTTTCAAATGGCTATATCTCAAGTTCTATAAAAGGTAGAAACTTAAAAGGTAGAAAAAAGAAAAAGAAACTTGAAATTTACAGCGTTTAAACATGGGTCCATATCTCTTCTTATTTTATGAAAGGAGCTCATAAAAAAAATTTCAGCCAAATCGGAGATCATGAGGTCAAGAAGGTGTCCGAGTTGTAAAAGAATGACCCATATAACACTTTAACTTTGAAGTTAAGTGGCATTATTGAATGGTTATTAGTATGGAATTCAACATACTTCTACTTTATTTTTTTTTTTTTTTAAATTTATTTTCTTATATTGCGACCTGTCAGTTCGGAATAGACAATAAACAATATTTTAATCAATCAATCAATCCAGTACGTTCCCATGGGAACATTGGGCCGTAGTGGTTACAGTTGTACCTATCGCATTGATTATGTTTAAACGTGAGTTTCGCACCTCCAAATCCGTTGTGCGTGTTGCCGAAGCAGGTGGATTCGCCGCATCAGTATGGGTACCACTTGGAGACTGTATTATCATCGGATTTTGACTAATGTTTTATCCAGAAAAGTAAAAGGAAGCAAAGCCCTGACGATGGGTTACAAGCGCAATGTCAGTCCTGTAAGCTTTGCACGTAGTGACAGGTCACTTTTAAATATGTTACTTGTTTAGCTTCATTATTCCTCATTCGACCTTACCGGCAAGGGAAGCCCTACCAGTAGCAAGCTGCCGCCGGCATCGCTCGAAGTTTCATCGTAACTACTGAGCCTCCTCAACACGTCAAGGTGGCAATCCCCGAGAAGGATAAACTCGAAGATTCATCGTAACTACTGAGCCTCCTCACCACGTCAAGGTGGCAATCCCCGAGAAGGATAAACTCGAAGATTCATCGTAACTACTGAGCCTCCTCACCACGTCAAGGTGGCAATCCCCGAGAAGGATAAACAATATTTGAAAGTGACTAAATACTTAAAATGTTTCTTAGCTTGAAAGGACTGTGCTCAGTAGTGCAGCCGTCTGTTGGAGTCGGACACATTAAAGTTCCAGTGGCGTTTGTTTGCGGAGGCGTGTGAACGTTCTTCCTTCTGCTATCATTCTGTTCATAAAGTGGTTGGGATGATGTAACATACGTTTTTTGTGTTTACTAGCTTGACTTTTTATAACATCCTTAACTACGGGAATGTTGAGATCACGATGTATACATTCATTTGATATATATCTAGGAGCATTTAAGATTAATCTAAGGGCTTTTGATTGACAACGTTGGATAATCTCAATATTTGAAGATGCAGCAGTTCCTCAGAGTTCAATGCCATATGTCCAGATTGGTTTCAGTATAGTTTTGTAGATAAGAACTTTATTTTCGACTGAGAGCTTTGAACTTTTGTTCAGTATCCAGTAGAGTCCCGCAGTCTGAAGCCAAGTGCTTTTCTTTTTGTAAAAATATGGTGCTTCCAAGTTAGTTTCGTGTCAAAGTGTATTTCTAAATATTTCGCTTGGGTAGATTGAAGGATTAACACATCATTAAGGCGTACCGGTGGACAATTTTTACTTCTCAGTGTAAAGCTTATTTGTGAAGACTTAGACTCATTTGCTTTTATTCTCCAGGTTTTAAGCCACTGGGAAATGTTATCTAGCACTCGCTGAAGTTTGTTGGATGTTAACTGGTGATTTTCGTCTGTAGCAATTATCAGAGTATCATCAGCAAAAGTCCCAATGTCAGTACCAATGGTGGTAGGCAAGTCGTTAGTGAAGAGTAAGTATAACACAAGTCCCAAAACACTGCCTTGTGGCACTCCAGCCTGAATTGGCTGCAAAGTTGAAATTTTTTCCCCCTGTTTTACAAAGAAATATCGTGACCGTTATTCCAAACTTTATCAAATGCCTGGGATATGTCCAGAAATGCTGCTGTGCAGAACTCCCTCTTGTCAAATGCTGTGTGTATAACATTAACCACTCTGTGTACTTGCTCTATTGTACTGTGCTTTTTTCTAAAACCAAATTGATGTTCTGGAATTAGTCTCCTTCTATTGGCAATGGACATTAATCTGGTAAAGAATGAATTTTCCAACAACTTGGACATAACCGGTAGAAGACTAATTGGTCTATATGACTTAACATTTTTAACCGTTTTTCCAGGTTTAAGTACCATGCTAATTAGAGCCACCTTGAATTCAGGAGGGATAAAGCCTTTTGTCACGATAGAATTAAAAATATTTCGCAGTAAAACTATTGCTTGATCCGGTAATTCCTTTAATATTTTTGAAGTAATTAGATCATAGCCGGGTGCTTTATTAATTTTTAGTTTTCTAATTTCAAATTTTATGTCGAAAATCGAGAATTTTCGTAATCTCTCTCATCTCTTCAGTTATACTATTCGGTGCTTCATTAATGTTTGGAATAAAAACTGTAGACAGATGGTCCGTAAATACTTTGCATTTTTGTATATCTGTTCGGGCCCATTGCGCAAGTTCATTTTTTACTGGTGGGTTGTGCGTTGATGCCTTTTTTTTGATTGCTCGCCAGAGTGAGTAGTTGGTGAAAGTAGTTGCGTCCAGTCGTTGGAGATTTCATTGTATTTCCAAATTTCTGGTTGTTTGCAGATGTTCTTTTAGTTTTTTGATCAGCACATTGAAAAGTTTTTTATCTTTTGGGGATTTGGTTTGTTGCTAGCGCCTTCCCGCTGCTTGTTTGACTCTAATAAGTTCTTGAGTCGTACTCCATAATGGTGTAGCGAGTTTTTGCATGTTTGGAGGCGTGGATCTATGTATGCCTAAAGACATCGCAGTGAGTTAATTTGTTGTGCAGATAAAATTTTTGAGCTTTAAGTTGTATATTCGATTTTATTTGTAATAAAACTGACGAGTGATCTGATGAAAGATCAAAGCTAGATTTACAGGATGAGTCATTTTGTTGCACTCCTTTAGTAACACAGAAGTCTAACAAGTCTGATATTTTTTTGGGATCCGTGGGCCAATAAGTTGGTTCTCCAGACGTGACAGTTAAAAGATTTTCGCTTCTTATAGCCGCTAGCATCTGTCGTCCTTTGGGTCTTGAAAGCCAAGTGCCTTTGGGTTTTGAAAGCCGCAATAAATCTGTTACCTAGAGTTCTAAAGAATTTTATATATATTGCCGTCTTAGTTTCGATTTTGGTGGACAATATACTGATGCTATTGTGATTGGGCCACACCAAGCTTTTGTTGAAATGCTGGTTGCTTGTATCTCTTCAGTGGGGTGTTGTTGCAATTCAAAGTGAAATATGCTTGTTTTAGCTAAAATGTCACTTCCACCATGAGCAGTTCCATCGGGATGGATAGTGTGGTAAAAGTCATAGCCTGGTACTTTGAAATAATGTTTTGAAGTGAAGCGTGTTTCAGATATTAGCATGATGTCTACTTTTTGATCTTTTAAGAATTCTTGTAGCTCTAAACCGTGTTTTGACAGCTCATTCGCATTCTAGAGGACTATATTTAAATCCTGTCGGACATAATTTAGTTGTCAGCGTGACAAGAACATTCATCAACGTACTGATTTGTTCTAACAATTAATTTATTACTATTAGAACTTCGCTCATTGTATCTGGAGATTTTGGAATAGGAATAGATTCAGGTGATTGTTCCACTAGCACAACTCCTTTTGGGAACCCTTGAGATAGAAGCTTTGCCTTTTCCTTCGTCAATTTCCTTGTTTGTAGTTGATGTTGGTTTGGGTCTTAGTGTTGGAAATTTCGCCGTTTGTATCTGCTTATAAATTGAACAACCTTTATAATTTGCAGGATGGTTTCCTTTACATAAGACACATTTGACTTCAGTACTTCTTCCCTGGATTGGACATTGAAACGAAGAATGATTTTTTGCACATTTGATGCACCTCGGATATCTTCGACAACAACTTTTCGTGTGGCCATAGTCTTGACAGTTACTACTCTGCGGAATGTTCCGTTTAGGACGAGGAGCCTCAAGCGTGACACGACTATGCATCAAATTCTTTATGCTGTAGATCTCCTTTTTATTTTGTTGAGGCTCAAGTTCTATAATGAAGAGAGGAAGTGGTTTTTTCGATTCTCTGTGTTTCATATTGAACACGTTTACAGCTTTATGGCCCACATCCGCCAGAGCTGTTTTAATGTCCTTGGTGTTGACAGACGAATGCATGTTTCTCAAAATAGCTTTAAAATTTAGTTCATCTTTAGGCTTGTAGGTATAAAACTCAGTTTTTTCCGATTCGAGTTGTTTTACTATCGTAACATAAGACTCAGTGGTTTTCGCTTGGATTTTTACTTTTTCATTGTTTAAAACTTTTAGCTCATAATTGTTTCCTACTTGTGAGGACAAAAGATTTATGAGAGGATTTATGTTGTTCACCCTGTCTACGAATATTGGTGGAGGTTTGGGCTGCTGTTTAGTGCCTTGCATCACTTCTTCACCTTCTTCTTCATCTATTTCTAGTACTAAAAATCTATTTACAGAACGGTTTGGATTGTCTAGCTAGTAACTATCTAATTTAGCTTGTTTTTTAGTTTGTTCAGCATTTTTTGAACGGCGAATTTCGGGACTTGAACGAGTTCTTTTCTGACTTTCTTTTTGAACTTTGATTTTTTGTACTGAAGAGTTTTCAAGAGAATTGCTTAATGGGTTTTCTTTTAAGTGAGTATTTTCCTTCGATTGAGTATGTTTTTAAAGAATTTTACTTCTACTTAATATGCATCACGTATATTATATACAGTATATACAGTATCTGAAATGTCCGAAAGCCATTTTGGTATTTGCATATAAAAAGAAGACGATCCGAAAGTTCCTTTTAATAGTAGTAAAAAATATTCCTGTTCCTCAAAATGAGTTTTGTCGTCTTAGGACAGACCTAAGTTACAGGTAATCTGTTTAATTTAAGACATTTTAGGAATCTATCATATTTTATGTACTACGTTCTATATTAAAACAAATCAACTAAAAACAATGTTTTTCATAGAACAACATGATTATGCTGGTTTACCAGCATATGAGCAATCAATACAAGATATGATTACCCTAATGAAGATGACAAAACCAAATGATGAAAGTAAGTCACCATCATCTCTGGGAACAGGCATTGATTCAGGAAATAACGAAATGATTCAAAATAGTGCTCCGGAGTTAGCTGAGAAATTACATGTGGGAAATGCCGGTGAGTATGAGAAAACTGAGACAAGTGATAATAGGTATTTAACTTTGTCAGATCAATTTCTTGGTAAGTACTAATTTTGGTTTGATTTTTATTTACTTCCACCAAAAATACCAATAATTGGTCTTTAGTTATAATATATATTGTATATACAAATATTTAATGTATCATTTTAGGATAAATAAATTAGGATATGCTACTTCATAAATCGAAAAATCAGTTTTCAATTGCTTTTGTATACATATAATCCACAAGTAATCGTGACTTGATTTAATCTGAAATATGTGGTATCTTTTAACTAAGATAATCTATGTAGCTGAGGGAGAATTGTGAAATCAGAGAAATTTATAGCCCTTGGTTTTCGCAAAATAGTATCAATTGCTGCAGTAGTAAGCGTGTTCTGGAATAACATTCCTGGAAAAGCTAGCAGATATACAATTTAATAATTTCATATTAGAGCTTTAAATATTTATTTTAATATGTGTATATATTGTGTAATTTACACATTGTTTGAGAGGAGCGTCTCAACTTAGTCATTGACTGAGTTGGTAAGGCGTTAAAAAAGACCCTAGCATGAATGATTTAAATATTTTAATCAAATCCACCCCTCATCTTAAAACATTCGTAACTAAATGGTGTATGTCCACTGTTAGTTCGTAGACGTCCATACTACTCAACAGACATAAATACTGTTCTGTTTGAAAAACGAAACCACAGATATGAACTGATAGTACCGTAAAGGAAACAAAAGTAGGCATCCCATTAATAACCCAAAATAGTATATCATAGGTATCACAATTTTGTTTAATATATTTTATATATTTTAGTGAATGTAGTGTATTTTAACGAATAACTATATCTGTTTATAGAAAACAATCTTCGTCGTAAGAAAACTACTAATCAACGGAAAAAACAAAAAGCAGATACTGAACAGATAACAACAGAACCATTCGGAAGTAAGTTATCACCATTTTTGGACAGGCTTATTAAATCGGGACACATTAAGGAATTTGAAAGTGACTCTTCAGAGTCAGAATCTTCAGAGGCTCTTGATGGTAAGAAAGAGAACGTTGAGAACGTAATAATTTGTGTGTTATATAATATATTTCATTTTAACTTTTAAATTGAGTGGTATTGTTTTTGTGACGTAAATGTGTGATTCGATGTGTTACTCATCAATGTACACTTGCTTATTAAATACTACAACTGTCATTATTCTTTGTTCCATATTGCATTTAGCTTACTGTAATCATTGAATGCAACTAGTAAATATACTTAAGACTAACAAGCATTTTTAGTTTGATAAATTATAAATATTTATACTAACGTTTTATTACTTATTGAGGTCAAAGGGTATTATACGTTTTAATCTTGGTACTGAGTTAGTGCGTTGACTAATTGCAAAATATCTGCATTTTCATGTCACGTAATTTTCGAACCGTGAAGAACAGCATACGTTTTTATGACGTCCTTGAGAGGTTTTATTATTAGGTCACGATGTAGGTCTGTACCATGAATGTACCAGGGTGCATTTTTAAAATTTCTCAGGACTATGTTTTGGAAATGTTGTATTATCATAATATTACTCTTATTGATGTATTTCTATAACTGTATACCGTATGTCCATTCAAGCTTTAAGATTTCAATGTAAACCAGAAGTTTATTTTGCGTAAATAACACTGTTCAAATCCAGTTTTTTTGGATTTTAAAAACTTAATGAAATCTTATATTTCCTGAGCAGAAGCCAGAGGTATGGTTACTTCGCTGGCATTTTCTATTGTGAAAGCATTTCTAAGACATTCCGAAAAAATTTTTGTTTTCTGTTAATTGCTTTTTGTCCAAGCGAGTGTGTGAAATCTTTTTGCAGGAGAAATTAAAAATTGTCTAGAAATGTTTTGAAGGAGTCGTTTTAAGATGTTTTATCCTTTAAGTTAACCTTTTACAGACTCCTGAGCAGGGACTTATCCCCAGGAGATCTGGTCATTTGTCACTTCCGTTTAAGTTTGCGTTTTTCGGTAATAGAACTGCAAATATTTATACATAAATATACAAATATATAAATTTATTTAAAATGATTGAAATATACATTTTTGCATTCGGATTGTCCATTTACCTACGATTTGTTTCGTTTGTTCTAAATTTATTCTTGATTCTGAGAACATGATGTTCCAAAATATATCCTATGCTCCGATTAATTTAAGAAATTAGAATATGTCAATTACTTAACAAGTCGATCAGTCAGTTTAGAATTGGATTTATATACATATAATCCGAAAAATATTGTGACATGATTTAACTTGAAATATGTGGCATCTTTTAACTAACATGGGATAAAAGCTGCTATAAAGAAATTATGAAACCAGCGAAATTTATCACGCTTGATTCTCGCAGAATAGTATCAAATGCTAAAGTTATAATTGCATCTAGTTTTGTATTATGTATTATATATATTTTAGCATATATAATGAATTTTAACGAACGAATGTATTCTTATGTAGAAAGCAATGTTTGCTGTGATAATAATACTGATCAACAGAAGAAAGAAAAAGTAGATACTGAACAGATAACAACAGAACCATTCGGAAACAAGTCACCATATCTGGATACGGACATTAAATCAGAAAACATTAGAGAATATAAAATTGAATCTGTGAAGGATTTAGTTGATGTAGCTAATGAGAACTATATACATGATTCATGTGATAACAAATTTCAAAAGTCTCCACAGAAACACACTGGTAAGTACGAGTATATTAAATAACTTAAATATTGTGTTTAGTATTGCATATGGGTCATTCTTTTACAAACCGGACGGATTTTGGCAAAAAATGACCTCATGATCTCCGATTTGAGCTCCTTTCATAAAAGAAGAAGACCCATATCTCGGGAAAAAATTTTGTGCTTTTTTTTCTAGGAGATATGGACCCATGGGGTTAGTAGACACATGGTTAGCATAGTAGACACATTTTCAAATGGCTATATCTCAAGTTCTATAAAAGGTAGAAACTTAAAAGGTAGAAAAAAGAAAAAGAAACTTGAAATTTACAGCGTTTAAACATGGGTCCATATCTTTTCTTATTTTATGAAAGGTACTCATAAAAAAAATTTCAGCCAAATCGGAGATCATGAGGTCAAGAAGGTGTCCGAGTTGTAAAAGAATGACCCATATAACACTTTAACTTTGGAGTTAAGTGGCATTATTGAATGTGAATTATCACAAGCATCTAAAGAAATTTAGTGTTAGTATAGAATTCAACACAGTTCCACTTAATATGCATCACGTATATTACATACAGTGTTATATAGATCACTTACAGTAAAACTATCTAAAATGTCCGGAAGCCATTTTGGTATTTGCATATAAAAAGAAGACGATCCGAGAGTTCCTTTTAATAGTAATAAAAAATATGTTCCTGAAAATAAGTTTTGTCTTCACTTTAAATTTTACCATTATTCTACTAATAAGGACTTAATAAGTGAAAACAGTTTTTGAAAGAAGTATAAAGCGCTTGATTGAGGAAAGTTGATATTCGAGCACTATTGACGCGTAAGTCCTTCCTATTTGGAAAAAATCTTTAAAGCGCTTTGGCAGATTTTAGGTATTATATTACTCGACCGGATTATAGAGTTTTCTATCTGATAAGAAACTTGGGTTTGGAATAGTGGTTAGGAAAGAGTATGTGAAAGGGAGCGATCTTAAGTGCAGTCATAAGTTACAGACAATCTGTTCAATTTAAGGCATTAAATGAAACTATCATATTTTATGTACTATATTCTATATTAAAACAAAATTTTGTTGAATGAATTCTTAGAGTAAATCAACTAAAAACAATGTTTTTCATAGAACAACATGATTATGCTGGTTTACCAGCATATGAGCAATCAATACAAGATATGATTACCCTAATGAAGATGACAAAACCAAATGATGAAAGTAAGTCACCATCATCTCTGGGAACAGGCATTGATTCAGGAAATAACGAAATGATTCAAAATAATGCGCCGGAGTTAGCTGAGGAATTACAAGTGGGAAATGCCGGTGACTGTGACAAAAGAAATGCCGGAGAGTATGAGAAAAATGAGACAAGTGATAATAAGTATTTAACATTGCCAGATCAACTTCTTGGTAAGTACTAATTTTGGTTTAGTTTTTACTTACTTCCACCAAAAATACCAATAATTGAACGTCAGTTCATTGTTTTTGAATAATGTATTTATATTATAATACACATGCGAAAACGTCAATAAACCTAGCAGCTTAATCCCAATACATAATATAGATGTGTCTCCACCCATTACAAATATTATTTAACGTAGTTCTGGTTTAAGACACACAAGTTTGCAGAGGAAATACAATTAAGACGTGCTAATTAATGGAAAGAGACTAATGTCTGTTTTGTGTTCTTCTGTTGAAGGCATTAAAAACCACAGTGTGAGACTATAACCCACTAGAACTACATATTAAGAATGAATAATTAAGATTCCAGCAATTGACCTCAAAGGTAATACTTCTGGTAATCTCAGTCTAAAATAAATGTGCAAATAAGCCTAATGCTTAGGAAACTTAGTTAATTTAAGTCTGAAAGTAAGGATAATAATTAACGAAGGAGACAAGGGGTAGGTTTATTACGGAAGTGTAATTTGCAAGTTACTTATGGACTTTATAACTGGAATCGCGAAGCCGCAGTTACAAAAATAGATAATAGGAGCAGCTTAATACAATGCATTACAGCTTCAGAGGCTGAGTTCAGATGTTCTGTGTCGTTTAGCACTTTTACTTCGTTATCTCGAGTATCACTAAGGCCGCAGTAGTTTCTTTAGTATTACTTTATGTTATTGTTCTTTTAAGTTTCATACAATAAGGTTTTGTAAGTGCTCATATTTTCTATCTTTAAGAAGGCCCTAAGCATCTTTGGGTCTTCAGTAAGTCCTATGATGGGTTACTATGCTACAATCTATTTTAAGCTAGCTTCGCTTCATATCCTTTATATATCTTTTTATGGATTTTGTTTTCAATTCTTAGCGAATATCATTATATCTGACATACCAGAGGTCATTAACTTTACTTTACTTAAGTACTTCATTTACATAATCGCAGTATTTTGACACTTCTGGAACTAATTCAGTGTTGTTTCTGTCATTTCACCAAATACAATGCATCTATTTAAGGTTTATCTTATTTCAGAGGCTGATAGAGATTGGGTGTTGCTTAGCAACTATTTTGAGATTAGAGGTTCAATTGCATAAATTTTCAAATTTTACATACGAAATCGATGTTGCCACACAAGTGTATTACATTCTTTACAATTCTTTTTAGTTATACCTAAGCCCTATAGTTTCAATATCGAACTGATTGAAATTCTTGAAATTTTGACAATTCTTCGATTTATAGTATGCTGTTATTTTAAAAGCTTAACCAACGATTGGAAGTAAATAAACAAACTGGAGTTGCTTCTAATAAACTCCTAACGAAAATGATTTATAACATGACGAAATCCACAGAAGAGATGTTTTTGGGTCTCCAAAAAAATTATACTAAACAGTTAGTGTATCCACATGTGCTTGAACTATACGATATGGTTTGTTGTTGAGCATATAATACTTTTAATACTTTTTCTTTTGTGAGAGTGTATTTTGTATAGAATTTATAGCTCAATAAAGTGCAAAGTACCAAGCGCCAAGTACTAAGCGCCGAGTACCAAGAACTCCAAATTTTTCTATTTTCGAGAAACAACTCACTTGCATGTGTATTTACCAAAAATCTGTCTATACATTTAGGAGCTAACAAGCCAGTAGTTTAAAGAGTGTGTTATCACTCAAAACTATGACGTGAATTGTACATTTGTAATGTAGTTAAGAGTTTCCATATAGAAACTAGAAAGTCTTGTGTCTAAGTGTTGTTTCTAAGTTACTATGTACGCGTGTTTTGAGGTAACTTGAAGATTTTTTAATGGAGTATCTTTGTAGCATTTCCGCTATGTTCAATTTGGCAATTCTTCATACTTGATCTGCATAAAAGAGAGCTAATCTCAAAGTCACCTGAAACATCAGAAACTTTACCGAGGGTGCAACTTCATTTAATACTAGAATAACTTGTCGTGCTTTTTGTACTTCAATGAGCTTTTTACTGAAATCTTCATTGGATTTACCATTATATTTGAATCAAGCTTCTAAATATTTGTATTCCTATACTACTTCTAATGTTTCTCAATTTATGTCACATGTTTCCTCTTTTTTCAACCTCCTGCAATTCTTCTTGAATATCATAATTTCCGATTTAGAAGTAATTATTTTAAGTTTCAATTTTATAGACATGAAGACATAAAATTCATTAATCATTGTATTGTTATAGGTATGTCAGTCATAAGCACTATATCATCGGAATACCTATGTTAAGTATTTTAATACATTTATTTATTATTATTCCATTTATTGAGATGTCTTTGGAAAGATGGTTGAATAACGAACCCATCGGACAAATCTGTTTTACTTCAGAGCTCTTTAAAAACTAGTTGAAAAGGCTGTTTTCATCTCATACAGCTGCCGATGTATTTTTAGAATTTTTAAGTTACTCCAGAATTACTTAAGTTATAAAATATGTTTTCTCTGTGAACAAAGTCGACTGCAGTCTAAAAATGTGCAAAATTCTTGAATCCTCTTCTTCTTCTTGAGTTAGTGCTATTATGCACTTTTACTCTATAATGGCTGGGGGCTTATCTCTACCTCACACTAGGCTTTAAACAGGCTAAAAAAAAAATCATATCATTTATTTGTCTTTGTCTTTTAGTTGATGACGGACCTTAAATCAGCATATCTTCCTGAGAGTCCAGAAGTGGACTTGAGGATTGTTAGGGTGGGGTTAATTAGCGTATCAACTTTAGTGAATAATTTTAGAGCTCTGTCTCTGACATATTTTTTCACTGAGTCAATCCTAAGATCTCTATGTTAAACAGTTTTCTTCAAGCCAGGTTTTGTGCTATCTGTAATTGCTTTGAGGTAGTATTTGAGGCTTTGCTATATGTAACACATCCGTACATTAGTGCAGGTCTAATTACTTGCGTATAAAGTAACTTTCTGTTTTTAAAGTTGAAGTGATAATTATTAAATAGCGGCTTTAATAAATTTAGAATCTTAGAGCAGCTATTCCGTTTGTATTTTAAATGTTTAAGCCAATTGAACCATTTGTCAAAAGTGACCCCTAGATATTTTATGTTATCCTCCCACTGTATCTCCGTGTCGCAAACGCTCACCCTTGGAGGAAGCTGTCTTCTTTTTCGAGTTATAAATATAGCCTTCGTTTTGTCATTATTAATTTTAATCTTCCATTTTTGGAAGTATTCCACCATAAGGTCTATATTTCCCTGTAAAGTGTTGCTTACATTTATGGCATCCCGATCCGAGTAGATGAAGCACGTGTCGTCTGCGAAAGCTCTGCTGTCGTCCAGATTAAATTTAAAGATAATATCAAAATGTACAAAAAGTATATACAATAATTTTTTTATTTTCAAATATTCTTTTGATATATTTGTCATAATAAGAACATTATCTCTAGTCGAATATACTCGCCTGAACCGTGCTTGGTATTCCCTTAATACTTTTTTATCGACGACTTAATTTTGTTGTTGTGGATGTTACACGCCTGTAAATACTTTTTTTATCAAATTTAATAAAAATATAGTTTTTTATATCATGCGGATCACCGCTTTTAAAGAAGGTTTTCTAAACAGCTTAAAATTGCATCCATTTACTTAAGTTTATGAAATTTACCCTACTTAAATTGTTCCAAAAGCTTTCGGAATATTTTGTTAGATGATGTTGGCTATATTATATTCATTTCAGTCTGAATTCAGTCCTCTTTCTTGTTTTATTCAGGTAACTAAAGCAGTTTTACCTTGCAATTTAGACTTCTTATCAAACCGAACATATATTCCATTTTCATTTCGTGGCACCATGTTGAAAAGGACTTGCTGTTTTCTACCGCTTTTATGATGGTTACAGTCATCACTTCATCAGATGAGGTGATGATATGATGAGGGGTATTCTGATATAGATTCAAATATTGTTTTCTCCTTTAATTTAGGTAAGCTTTGAGAGTGGATTTATATTTTGGAAGTTGTGTATTTGATTTGATTTAAGTGTTAGTTCTACGGGTAGATGATTCGGCTAGATTTTCTCTTGTAAATAAGTTTCTGTATAATATTTAAGAACAAACCTTTTATAACACAATAATCAATTCATGACTGCTCAACCGACATTAATTCTGGAATTTTTGTATAGCAACCCCTAGTAAATTAAAGAACTTTATTAATTTTTTTCATTCCCCCCTATGTAAAGTTAGATCTTTTGCTCTTCTGTGTAACTCTGTGTTTTCATGATATATATTGTATATATGTATGTTATATATACAACATATCACTTAAATATCAGTATAATGTTCGAGCAATATCTTTGAGCTACCTTAACGAATGACTGTATTTGTTTATAGATGTTTGTAATGTTTATAATGTGTATAATGTTTTTCGTGATAACACCACCCATCAACAGAAGGAACGAAAAGTGATTACTAAACTAAAAACAACAGAATCCTGGTTAAAAAATTTCCTACATATCTGCATAAAGATATTGAAACGGGAATCATTAAATATTTTAAAAGTGACCATTCGGAGTCAGAATTTTCAAAGAATTTTTCTGGTAAGAAAGAGAACGTTGCATTAATAATAACCTGTTTGTTTTGTTATATATTTCATCTTAACTTTTAAATTGAGTGGTATCATTTTATTATCATTTTCAATATCCTTTGTTCTATATGTCATCTAGATCACTGTGATCGATGAGCGTGTTAATAATATGACCATAAAATTTTTCCCTTACGGGCTGCTTAAAATGTACATTCACGTATTCGGATTGTCTAGTTACCTATGATTTATTTCATTCCTTTCAATTTTAACTTTGTTTCTGAGAACATGATCTTCCAAAATATATCAATTACTTACATTACATTATTAATCATTTTCAACTAAATTAGAATATGTCAAATACTTAACAAGTCGATCAGTCAGTTTAGAATTGGATTTATATACATATAGTCCGAAAAATATTGTGACATGATTTAACTTGAAATATGTGGCATCTTTTAACTAACATGGGATAAAAGCTGCTATAAAGAAATTATGAAACCAGCGAAATTTATCACGTTTGGTTCTCGCAGAATATATAGTATCAAATGCTAAAGTTATAATTGCATCTAGTTTTGTGTTATGTATTATATATATTTTAGCATATATAATGAATTTTAACGAACGAATGTATTCTTATGTAGAAAGCAATATTTGCCATGATAATAATACTGATCAACAGAAGGAAGAAAAAATAGATACTGAACAGATAACAACAGAACCATTCGGAAATAAGTCACCACCATATCTGGATGCGGACATTAAATCAGAAAACATTAGAGAATATAAAATTGAATCTGTGAAGGATTTAGTTGATGTAGCTAATGAGAACTATATACTTGATTCATGTGATAACAAATTTCAAAAGTCTCCACAGAAACACACTGGTAAGTACGAGTATATTAAATAACTTAAATATTGTGTTTAGTATTGCATATGGGTCATTCTTTTACAAACCGGACGGATTTTGGCAAAAAATGACCTCATGATCTCCGATTTGAGCTCCTTTCATAAAAGAAGAAGACCCATATCTCGGGAAAAAATTTTGTGCTTTTTTTTCTAGGAGATATGGACCCATGGGGTTTTGAGAATTGGCATAGTAGACACATTTTCAAATGGCTATATCTCAAGTTCTATAAAAGGTAGAAACTTAAAGGGTAGAAAAAAGAAAAAGAAACTTGAAATTTACAGCGTTTAAACATGGGTCCATATCTTTTCTTATTTTATGAAAGGAGCTCATAAAAAAAATTTCAGCCAAATCGGAGATCATGAGGTCAAGAAGGTGTCCGAGTTGTAAAAGAATGACCCATATAACACTTTAACTTTGGAGTTAAGTGGCATTATTGAATGTGAATTATCACAAGCATCTAAAGAAATTTAGTGTTAGTATAGAATTCAACACAGTTCCACTTAATATGCATCACGTATATTACATACAGTGTTATATAGATCACTTACAGTAAAACTATCTAAAATGTCCGGAAGCCATTTTGGTATTTGCATATAAAAAGAAGACGATCCGAAAAGTCCTTTTAATAGTAATAAAAAATATGTTCCTCAAACTGAGTTTTGTCGTCACTTTAAATTTTACCATTATTATACTAATAAGGACTTAATAAGTGAAAACAGTTTTTGAAAGAAGTATAAAGCGCTTGATTGAGGAAAGTTGATATTCGAGCACTATTGACGCGTAAGTCCTTCCTATTTGGAAAAAATCTTTAAAGCGCTTTGGCAGATTTTAGGAAAAACTAAACTAAACGAAAAACTAAAGGAGATTTTAGATCTATATTACTCGACTGGATTATAGAGTTTTCAATCTGATAAAGATAACTTGGATTTGGAATAGTGGTTAGGAAAAATTAAGTAAAAGGGAGCAACCTTAATTACAGATATAAGTTACAGGTAATCTGTTTAATTTAAGACATTATAGGAAAGTATCATATTTTATGTACTACATTCTATATTATAATTTTTTATAAGATTTTGTTCAATACATTCTTAGACTAAATTTATTAAAAACTATGCTTTTTAAAGAACATCGTGTTTATGCTGATTTAACTGCATATGAGCAATCAATACAAGATATGATTACCCTAATGAAGATGACAAAACCAAATGATGAAAGTAAGTCACCATCATCTCTGGAAACAGACATTGGCTCAGGAAATAACGAAATGATTCAAAATAATGCGCCGGAGTTAGCTGAGGAATTACAAGTGGGAAATGCCGGTGACTGTGACAAAATAAATGCCGGAGAGTATGAGAAAAATGAGACTAGTGATAATATGTGTTCAACATTGCCAGATCAACTTCTTGGTAAGTACTAAATTTGCTTGTTTAGTTTTTACTTACTTCCAGCAAAAATACCAATAATTGAACTTTAGGTCACTGTAATTTTGTTTCAAATTTTTTTTGTGATTATTTTTTTTGGGTATTATTATTTAATTTTGATAAGTAGGGTTATCGTTGTTTTTGTCCTTGAGTGTGACAGGTAACAATGGTAGCGGGATGGGTCTGGTTTTGAAGGACTATCACTTTCAAATGGTTCAAAAATTAGTTACATGCTTCAGGAATGTGATCTTCCGGTGTTTTATTCCATTACTGAAGAATGACTGTGTTCAGAGCATCTATATTCGCATATTTTTTAGTTCTCATGTTGCTCTCTACCTCACAATATGGCTCAAATGGAATAGTCCATGGTCTACAATAGAAATGTTTGCGTGCTAACGGCCCTAAAGCAACTTCAAAAACATTTTCCATTTTTCCGATTATAAGTCGCATTGACTTTGATACCAACCACCAGGGTCGATGAAGAGACGAGCGTCCATCGGCGGTCACAGCTGCCTATACCATTACTTAAGATGGAAAATTTCTTCGGATGCACTTTCGTAGTCTTAAATAGCAGTGAACGGCAGCGCGTTCAGTGAAGTAAAAATGATCATTTTGACAATATTTAGAATATTATGTATCATAACACAAATATGTTTAATATATTAAGGGTCACTTTTTGATTGAATTTATTAATTGCTTAGTACCGAAAACTTAAACGTTCCTTAAAAGTCGGCCGACATAAGAAAAATTAATTTGTCTACAAATTAAATTATAATTGTGTGTTCTGGGAATTTGATGGGCTTAAAAAATAGTACAATGATGCATTCTGAGGATTATAAGATTGAAAGTAATTGTGAAATTGAAAAAATTTAAAATGATACTCTAGTGCGTTGATCAAAGGAAATTAAGGAGCGATCTGATTAATTCTAATTGTATAACTTTTATGATTTTGACTCATTAAGCATATAAAGCTTTCCATTTTAAATTGCCAATATGATTTTTCTAGCGTTGCCATCTTTCACATAATTATAATCTCTCCTTAAATCATTGTACTGTGAAAGCCCTCAACAACTAGAAGTTAAAAAGCTTTTTCTATACTTAGCATAAGTATGCATTGTATAATGTGTCTTAACAAATAACTATTTCTTTATTAGAGATCAATGTTTGCAGTGATAATGATACCTCTCCACAGAAGAAACAAAAAGTACTAACTCAAAAGAAGAAAAAAAAACACTGGAGAATTACGCTACCATCATATCTAAGGAATGATGTTAAATCAGGAAGGATTAAAGTATTTGAAAGTGACTCTGACTCTTCTGACGATGAGTGTCTAGAGGAACTTACTAGTAAGAACATAATTTAAAATTATTTAAATATTACTCTTTTTTTCATATAGAGCGTCATCATAATCTTCTGTAGAAAGAAATGCCTTTCCCTAAAACTGCTTTATTATTTTTTCCGAAAGCTTATTTACATATTGAACATTAGGTAAAGAAAGAAGTCGTAAGACTTCTACTCTCCTTACGAATATGGGTGCTTTTGTATTAAACCAGTTATGGTAGTAGTTGTCGTCACTCTGACTTCATTTTTTTGTTGTATATATGGTGTGAAACTATCATGATTTGTTTATAGATTGCTTACAACAGCTCTTCTTGAAATCTACTTCAGCTGGTAGGGTTGTTAGAGTCTATTTCAATATTGTGTTCTTGCACTAGAGCTTCGCTTTGTTCGAAACATTGCGACTTGGAACTTAAAAGTGCATGTACAATCATTCTTGAATATCCATTGCTTACAATTTTAAAATTTTCTTAACATATATAAAACGCATCCGTAGAGTGTATTCGAAAAAATCAGGGCAAAAGATTTTTTATGTAAAAGACGTAGTAGTTTTTCAACAACATTACTTGAATAAATCTGGTCTGCGTACCACATAATAGCTTGACACTACCTTCTACAGCAAGAGCTTGAAACATCTTGCACTTTGTGGTTGAACTGACATTTTTTCCCTAAAGCTTTCTACAATTATAGTTTGTGACGATTTTTAAATTCCTGTCATTACTATAATTTTGAATATGAATATGAATAGTCTTTAAAGCTTGCAATACTTTTCCAATGATATTAATCATGTCGTAGAATATTTATAATATATCGTTGATATATAAAAAAAGAGAAGGGAATATTTAATTTTTGTCGCACAGTGTTATTTTACCCCTAGCAAAGCGAAAGAAAAGTTTTCTACGTTTCTAAATCAATCAATCAATCAATCAATCCAGTACGTTCCCATGGGAACATTGGGCCATACGTTTCTAAATAATTAACCATAACATATTTTAAATAGAAAACCGTGCCAGTAGTCCAAAGGAACTCAATGCTGAAGTTGAAAGCGAAAAGTCATATGAAAATAAGCAGTCAAGTTCGGATGATAATGTTGATTCAAGCAGTAGTATTATCTCACTAACTTCAGACGTTTCTGATGGTAAGTATATTTCTTAAAATAACAAAAAATTAACTGACTTTTATTGACTTTCAATTTTGGTTATGAGATCACATTGAAATAGACTTAAATTTTATATTTAACTTCTTCTTATAGAAGAGGCTGCATCCGAAAGTACTGGTGATAAAAGGGGTAATAAGCGGAAAGTAACACAAACAAAATCAAAAGCCGCTAAAAAGATGAAAAGAATAATAATTGAAGACTCCTCCGATTCTGAATCAAGTTCATGCTTTAGTTATACAACGACTGAAGAGGAATGCAAAGCTAATAATATGTAAGAATACGCACTAAACAATAAAACAAAGAAGATGACGTCCTTTAATAAATTCTAGGGTCAAAACAAAATTTATTCCACCACCAGCATGGCTTAAGCCGAAATACGATTGTGCAGATATGAGACTACCCGAATTATTGTAAATTATTATTTAGATATCATAATAAAGAGGCGTTAATTTTCAATATTTTATAGTCTGTATTTAAAAAGGAAACTAAGGGCTATCGATGCCGAAATTAAAAAATTTCTAAAAAAGTCTAAAAAGAAACAATTCAGAACTCGTGAACTTAAATGGAAAATGTAAGTAATATCTGGACGACTTCATTTTCTTTATCGAAATATAATAATAAGATTCCTCATTTTTATTCTTAGCCGAAACATCATTCTCGATATGAAAAAGGTTGATGATATGAGTTACTCGTTAGCGCATTATAGTATTCCAGTTAATTTCCTCCGAAAGGTCAATGAAAATTTAGCTTGTGGTTTGCCTGTACTTAGTAACATTCAACGTCCTATACCTGAAATGACACTTCACAGCAAACTCTGCAAAGTTTTCCTTAAATGCGGATGGATATTTCTTAAAAGAACGTTTCCTGAAGAAGGCTATAAGTGTAGTTTATATCGACAAATCAGAAAATAATTTTTGTATATTATAAGAAATATTTTTTTTGACTCTAGATATAAAAGGATGTAATAATTTCAATTTTAATTAATAAAGTAATAATAATAATAATAAGTGATAATAATTTCTGTATAGTAAAATATTACATTATTGTAGAGTATATGAGACATTATTCGTCAGTTTTTTTTGTTTAATATTTGTTAAAATTATTATTTGTTAACATTCGCGTTACATTTGGACCAGGTCTTCAAAGCACATGATAATCAAAATATGCCAGATATCATGAAACAAATGATAAATTTTTTATAAGAGCCTTACCAATTAGAACTTTCAAATAAAAGATTTTCTATTAATGAAGTTAGGGATGTAATAGCGAAGTTAAAAGTAAAAAAGGCTCCAGGATATGATTTGATCAAAGGTATGGCCCTGCAGCAGCTATCACCAAAAGGATCTATATATCTCACTCAACTACTTAACGCTGTGATAATAAAGGTGTTAATTCCGCCGCAGTGGAATCTATTCATACGCGAGAGTTGTATACCAGTAAACATTTTATAGATAGAGTCGATAGTCCAGGATAATTTGTAACTATATTGGGATCTCCTTTTTTTAAGCATTGGTTTAATTATCGATTTTGAAAACGAAGATGGTACGACACTATGAAGAAATATAAAACTATACAGCGTAAGTAAGTCGTTGAGGAAACCAGGAGGTGCGTTTTTGTAGAATTCATAAGTAATGCGGTCGCTACCTAATGCTTTATTAGAATTGCTGTTTGAAAGCATAAGCTGAATTTCCCGAAGTTTAAAAGGAGAGTCAGGAAAGAATTGACAAAAGGCGAAAGAAACCAAGAGATACCTGGAAGGTCAGAACTGCATGTAAGTAGGGATTCATAGTGAATACGAAACTATTCACATTGTAAAGAAGTAGCTACTTTAAGGAGACTGTTTTTAAAATTGTTTGAAACCTTCCACCAGTCAAAAGCGTTTTTAACAGTTTTTAATGCTTCAATATTTTTTAATAGCCATTGAAGTGTTTTATTACGGCAAAGGCATTCGAGATCTGAGTTTAAAGTAAAAACTGCGCTCGGTTTCTAGATTCTATTTTTAAACTAAATTAAGGAAATGAAACATGTTTTTCCTTAATTCTTGACACTGGTTGTCAAACCATTCATTTTTGGGTTCAAAACGCTTATTTAAGGCCTCCCACACATTTAAGGTTATCCCACGCATGGCGAACTTTTTCCACAATTCCATAATTTTCCGATTTAGCATCAATTTGTGCATATTAGCACTTATATTATCAGAACAAGTATCTGTTGAATGAACATATACAGAGATCAACAGCAGTTGATCCATTTGGTCCCGCATATGTAAATTCCCCATCTTCATCACCTCGAAACCTGCCGTTAAATATAACACCACCGATGTTCTTCAGAAATTCTCGAAGTTTTCTTCCCTTAGTGTCAAGCTTCACATCCTTTGATACTCTTTTTACTGCAATAAATGGGGAATCAGATAATAAATTACTATCAACAACTTATTTATCTGCTACATGGGTATTTAAGTCTACAACAATATAGTAAACGGGTTTATTAAAATTGTTAAAAAATTGTTAAAAAATTGTTCCAGTTTAGAAAAATCTTCTTCCCATTTTGCATAATTTACGTTATAAGAAAGCACCCGAACAATGGCAATTGCTAATTAATGTTCACCGGCAAAGCAACATTTCCTACAGGGTAGTCCAGGGTATTTCTTGCTGGTTAACATCCATAAGCTGACGATTACTTATATATTGTGTGGCATCGCACTGAAACCTTGTTTTCACAAGCAAATTTTTTATCATTTTCGCATCTCATTTTGTAGAAGGGGGATAACAGATCCTTATAATAATAATGTAGAATTGGAATTGAACAACTTTTAAAATACCAATGTATCGCAGTTGGAACAAAAATTTGGGTCGTCACTATAGGTCGACTAAATATAAATCTAATCGGTCGTTTCTAATAAACTTTTTAAATAAAAATAACATCTCATCTATAAATCGTGTCCTTATTGGTACCGACAGAATTTCTAACCATTTCTAACCATTAGAGTCTATTTCAATATTGTGTTCTTGCACTAGAGCTTCGCTTTGTTCGAAACATTGCGACTTGGAACTTAAAAGTGCATGTACAATCATTCTTGAATATCCATTGCTTACAATTTTAAAATTTTCTTAACATATATAAAACGCATCCGTAGAGTGTATTCGAAAAAATCAGGGCAAAAGATTTTTTATGTAAAAGACGTAGTAGTTTTTCAACAACATTACTTGAATAAATCTGGTCTGCGTACCACATAATAGCTTGACACTACCTTCTACAGCAAGAGCTTGAAACATCTTGCACTTTGTGGTTGAACTGACATTTTTTCCCTAAAGCTTTCTACAATTATAGTTTGTGACGATTTTTAAATTCCTGTCATTACTATAATTTTGAATATGAATATGAATAGTCTTTAAAGCTTGCAATACTTTTTCAATGATATTAATCATGTCGTAGAATATTTATAATATATCGTTGATATATAAAAAAAGAGAAGGGAATATTTAATTTTTGTCGCACAGTGTTATTTTACCCCTAGCAAAGCGAAAGAAAAGTTTTCTACGTTTCTAAATCAATCAATCAATCAATCAATCCAGTACGTTCCCATGGGAACATTGGGCCATACGTTTCTAAATAATTAACCATAACATATTTTAAATAGAAAACCGTGCCAGTAGTCCAAAGGAACTCAATGCTGAAGTTGAAAGCGAAAAGTCATATGAAAATAAGCAGTCAAGTTCGGATGATAATGTTGATTCAAGCAGTAGTATTATCTCACTAACTTCAGACGTTTCTGATGGTAAGTATATTTCTTAAAATAACAAAAAATTAACTGACTTTTATTGACTTTCAATTTTGGTTATGAGATCACATTGAAATAGACTTAAATTTTATATTTAACTTCTTCTTATAGAAGAGGCTGCATCCGAAAGTACTGGTGATAAAAGGGGTAATAAGCGGAAAGTAACACAAACAAAATCAAAAGCCGCTAAAAAGATGAAAAGAATAATAATTGAAGACTCCTCCGATTCTGAATCAAGTTCATGCTTTAGTTATACAACGACTGAAGAGGAATGCAAAGCTAATAATATGTAAGAATACGCACTAAACAATAAAACAAAGAAGATGACGTCCTTTAATAAATTCTAGGGTCAAAACAAAATTTATTCCACCACCAGCATGGCTTAAGCCGAAATACGATTGTGCAGATATGAGACTACCCGAATTATTGTAAATTATTATTTAGATATCATAATAAAGAGGCGTTAATTTTCAATATTTTATAGTCTGTATTTAAAAAGGAAACTAAGGGCTATCGATGCCGAAATTAAAAAATTTCTAAAAAAGTCTAAAAAGAAACAATTCAGAACTCGTGAACTTAAATGGAAAATGTAAGTAATATCTGGACGACTTCATTTTCTTTATCGAAATATAATAATAAGATTCCTCATTTTTATTCTTAGCCGAAACATCATTCTCGATATGAAAAAGGTTGATGATATGAGTTACTCGTTAGCGCATTATAGTATTCCAGTTAATTTCCTCCGAAAGGTCAATGAAAATTTAGCTTGTGGTTTGCCTGTACTTAGTAACATTCAACGTCCTATACCTGAAATGACACTTCACAGCAAACTCTGCAAAGTTTTCCTTAAATGCGGATGGATATTTCTTAAAAGAACGTTTCCTGAAGAAGGCTATAAGTGTAGTTTATATCGACAAATCAGAAAATAATTTTTGTATATTATAAGAAATATTTTTTTTGACTCTAGATATAAAAGGATGTAATAATTTCAATTTTAATTAATAAAGTAATAATAATAATAATAAGTGATAATAATTTCTGTATAGTAAAATATTACATTATTGTAGAGTATATGAGACATTATTCGTCAGTTTTTTTTGTTTAATATTTGTTAAAATTATTATTTGTTAACATTCGCGTTACATTTGGACCAGGTCTTCAAAGCACATGATAATCAAAATATGCCAGATATCATGAAACAAATGATAAATTTTTTATAAGAGCCTTACCAATTAGAACTTTCAAATAAAAGATTTTCTATTAATGAAGTTAGGGATGTAATAGCGAAGTTAAAAGTAAAAAAGGCTCCAGGATATGATTTGATCAAAGGTATGGCCCTGCAGCAGCTATCACCAAAAGGATCTATATATCTCACTCAACTACTTAACGCTGTGATAATAAAGGTGTTAATTCCGCCGCAGTGGAATCTATTCATACGCGAGAGTTGTATACCAGTAAACATTTTATAGATAGAGTCGATAGTCCAGGATAATTTGTAACTATATTGGGATCTCCTTTTTTTAAGCATTGGTTTAATTATCGATTTTGAAAACGAAGATGGTACGACACTATGAAGAAATATAAAACTATACAGCGTAAGTAAGTCGTTGAGGAAACCAGGAGGTGCGTTTTTGTAGAATTCATAAGTAATGCGGTCGCTACCTAATGCTTTATTAGAATTGCTGTTTGAAAGCATAAGCTGAATTTCCCGAAGTTTAAAAGGAGAGTCAGGAAAGAATTGACAAAAGGCGAAAGAAACCAAGAGATACCTGGAAGGTCAGAACTGCATGTAAGTAGGGATTCATAGTGAATACGAAACTATTCACATTGTAAAGAAGTAGCTACTTTAAGGAGACTGTTTTTAAAATTGTTTGAAACCTTCCACCAGTCAAAAGCGTTTTTAACAGTTTTTAATGCTTCAATATTTTTTAATAGCCATTGAAGTGTTTTATTACGGCAAAGGCATTCGAGATCTGAGTTTAAAGTAAAAACTGCGCTCGGTTTCTAGATTCTATTTTTAAACTAAATTAAGGAAATGAAACATGTTTTTCCTTAATTCTTGACACTGGTTGTCAAACCATTCATTTTTGGGTTCAAAACGCTTATTTAAGGCCTCCCACACATTTAAGGTTATCCCACGCATGGCGAACTTTTTCCACAATTCCATAATTTTCCGATTTAGCATCAATTTGTGCATATTAGCACTTATATTATCAGAACAAGTATCTGTTGAATGAACATATACAGAGATCAACAGCAGTTGATCCATTTGGTCCCGCATATGTAAATTCCCCATCTTCATCACCTCGAAACCTGCCGTTAAATATAACACCACCGATGTTCTTCAGAAATTCTCGAAGTTTTCTTCCCTTAGTGTCAAGCTTCACATCCTTTGATACTCTTTTTACTGCAATAAATGGGGAATCAGATAATAAATTACTATCAACAACTTATTTATCTGCTACATGGGTATTTAAGTCTACAACAATATAGTAAACGGGTTTATTAAAATTGTTAAAAAATTGTTAAAAAATTGTTCCAGTTTAGAAAAATCTTCTTCCCATTTTGCATAATTTACGTTATAAGAAAGCACCCGAACAATGGCAATTGCTAATTAATGTTCACCGGCAAAGCAACATTTCCTACAGGGTAGTCCAGGGTATTTCTTGCTGGTTAACATCCATAAGCTGACGATTACTTATATATTGTGTGGCATCGCACTGAAACCTTGTTTTCACAAGCAAATTTTTTATCATTTTCGCATCTCATTTTGTAGAAGGGGGATAACAGATCCTTATAATAATAATGTAGAATTGGAATTGAACAACTTTTAAAATACCAATGTATCGCAGTTGGAACAAAAATTTGGGTCGTCACTATAGGTCGACTAAATATAAATCTAATCGGTCGTTTCTAATAAACTTTTTAAATAAAAATAACATCTCATCTATAAATCGTGTCCTTATTGGTACCGACAGAATTTCTAACCATTTGATAAAATTTATTTACTGAAGAAAAAAAAGCTTTTTTTTTGCATAGAAAGAGGCTTGCATCGACATTCCGGCAGGTCAACAATATGAAGTACTTATGCGATATGCTTTGAGATTACGATAATTAAGTATTGAGTCAGAAGTGAAGTATCTTGGATAAATTTAACTAGTTTTCCCGAAAGAAATTCTTGTCTTTTTTATATATGAAAGTTCCGTTCTTTTTAGGACACTTTCAAAGAATGATATATAGTATATTTGTATCAATTTACTAAAATAAAGCATTCTATTTCTTTTGTGTTATGAAAAGTACATGTTTCAGATTAGCACTGCTGATGAAATATCTACGCTACACCTTAGTTCTCATTAAAAATTTACAAAGTAGCTGCTTCCGTGTGCTGAGATTTTGTTTCTCTCAGTAAATGTCGGACCGATAAGAACTGTTCTTGCGATACGGGATGTGATTATCTCCTTTCAATGTGAAATTAAATTAAACCATTTGTACTCGTGATGAAAATGTAAAAGTTTTTTTAAACTTTTATTTATTATGCTCTTATAATATGTTTGAATAAAGTCATCCGATTTTGATTTGAAATTTTATGTACTTTATTATTGTAAAACACACATACTTAGGCTCATCAAAGCTATTATCTGAAAGAGAAGTACGTCTGTGAGATATCTCTGAGGTTGCGCTTAGTTTTCAAATATAAGTATAAAATTATTTACTTTAGTTCCAATACGTAATGTAAATAAAGTTTATTAGTGACTTGACTTAGATGGTCATTACAAACGTGATTCATCTTGATTGCGTCTAGGGGCCACCAGCCCGATCAGTAGCTTACTGCTGCCAATGTGTAGTACCAAGTACCTTGAAATCATTGATGAATAGGTCCTTTTACCTAAGATGTGGCCGTCTTCGATAGCGTTTTTCACCAGCGAGTACAGCGCAAACACTTTCCTAGTCGGAGCATTTTCTTCCATTTGTACAACATGGCCATGTTGCGGTATAGCTCATATAGCTCAACGTCCCAACTGATTCCGTAACAATTATTAACAAGTAAAGAGTAAAGTTTAGAACAAGTAAAGAAGGATTTTCCTCTTGTGTGGTTTTTATAGTTACTCATCACTGTTTGCTATTGTTGAAGTTATTGTACCATACAGCAAAAAAGGGATGATAAGCAACTTGTAGACGAAAAAGAAAACAATTCACGACAACGATACCTTAATCCGGATTAGCAGTTCACACCTGATGTGTGAAAAGGCTTAGATTTCATTATTCGTTCGAATTATTTTTGCGAATATTCTTATAGTAAAAGATGCGTTTTTGGTAACTCATCTATAGCTTACTCAGTTATAATAAAACTCTCCCTAACCGCGGGTTTAGGTCTTAGTCCATGCGCTGATTGTACATTGTTAGTTTAGCTTAGTAACAATGCTTGTATATATGAATCTTATTTATTTCAATTAATTTGTATTAAAAGTGTATTTAATTTTGATTGAACTTAAGATTCACTCCTGTTCACAAATATAAATTATGAATTATTGCATTTAAATTTTTTGGTCAGTGCGAAAATACAATATTGGTTTCATTTTATTCCCATAATATTAACGTATCCAGCCGTCTGTTCTTATTATAAGCGGTGATACCAACCGAGGAAATAATATTAGTTAACGTATTTTCTTTACTTTTCTCGGATGTTTATTAAAAGTTAGATTGGAAACTGTTAAAACTTTACGTTGTGGGGTGCTGTCTTACCCGATGATTCGAGAGATTAAATTTCAATTGATTTCCATTTGTTTTTATATTTGCGAAGTATATTGCTAAGTGTTTGCTAGAAAAATGTTCCATCAAATTTATTATCTGCGACTAATGATAATTATGGCAATCTTTAAGGACCCCATCTTGTCATTCCAAAAAATTCCACAAAATTTTTTGAATTAAATTTGCCAGGCTACGAGTTAAACGTGTGGTACTTGGAGTCAATAAATTAAAAATAGAGAAAATACATCTAGTGAGAATAATTCACAGTATTTAAAATATACGTTTTTTATTCATATAAGTTAGTGAAAGTACAGTTCATTTAAAATACTAACTACAAAACACAATATGTACTGGATGCACTATACACTCTTTATTGAACGTACGAATACATGCACCTTCTGTAAGACCCATCCTTGTGACCTTTTTGCTTCGAACTGTTAGAGCGAATCTTTCATTATTTTTAAAAGAATAACTATAATTTCAGAAGAGTCCTATTTAAATATAGAATAGACACAATATACTAAGTACTCTTTAAAGTCTTTAAAGTCTTTCAAATTAAGTGAAACTAATTATGACATGACATCTAAAAATATTATTTAAGAATTAGTTCTTATCTTGTATTTTATAAAAAGAGAATGAAAAAATGCTATGCTAGTATATTTTTATTTTCCTTCCAAATATATAATACAATTTGCCACAAATCGATCCATCTAAAAAATAATTATAATAATGAGAAGAAGTAAGACTGCTAGAATCATTCTCCAGTGAATGGTGATGAAATCCTCATACGGGCCGACCGCGGGCTCCAACTCGATGACCTCACTTTCAACGTATTCCTGACCCTATGTTAGAGAAGAATAAGTTTTATGAACCAATCGATAATAGTAATGTATGCTGAATAAAATTCTACTTACACGACGTTGGCGTCCATCTTGAGAGTCATCACCACCTATAAAAAGAATTTCATATTATTAATTTATCTTTTTAAATGACTTCAGTTTATAAAACTCACCCCTGCGCGGCATTTCACTAAGTAATTTCTTCAAATGATTTTTATAAAATATATGTGTCAATTCCCGACCGGACCTTTAGAAGTAATATCTTTTTTAAAATATAAAAAACTCGTGATAAGATTTTTAAAAATGAAAACTTTTGTTATTCAATTTGGTAAAATAATATTCAGATAAATTTTTCTACACTTCTCTGGTTACTAGATT